ACAAGTGACTGATGTGAAGTGCCAGTAAACCAATCCTCTCACACACACACGCACACCCTGAAGTGATGTTTCTCTGACAGATTTGTGCAGAACCAAAACCAATCTCCTGCCAGGCTAGCGGACAAACGTGTGATCTTTTTCATTTAACAAGTGCATCTCGTCGTTAAGGCTCATAAATCCATGTCCTCCCGTCCCAGAGTCTCTCCTCTGTTGCCCAATAGATTTATAGAGCTCTTCGTGGAAAATCAATAGTTGACTCCCATTTTTTGGGTCTCTTTGTATGAGTGTTGTCTTTGGAGTGTGTCACCGAGCAGATGGAAGAAAGCAGCTCTGCCTGCTTCGACCGCACTCCTGAAGACCCATTTCACCACAGGAGTGTTATGTTGCATACAGGGGAAATGTTATGTGTGTCTGAGGGCGACGGAGCGAGAGAGAGGAGGAAGGAAAAATGGAAAGGAGTGCTTTAGACCCAACAGTCCTAATAGAAAAAGCAGGCTGAATAAATCCATCAAATGCTCCTTATTGAAGTGATCTGAAACAGGGATGTGCCACAGGGCTGTTCGACTAGTCATCCAACACCCAACAAGCCAAACTGGAGCCACAAATGAGCTTATAGACGTCAGCTGGGGAGACCATATGCTTCGGAACTATCTCCCACACCTTCAGTGTAACGCTCACACGTGACAATAAAATGTAACGGGACCACATTCTTATAAATAAAGAATTTGAATGTTCGCTTTGAGGTATTTTTAGAACTGTTTACTAGAGAAATCAACTGTTCGGAGTGTCTCCAGTCATTTTATTAGACTAGCTTGAATTGACTTGTGTTGTTTGGGTATTTATTGATACCTAGACACGTTTATGTTTGTTTTGCTCATGAATTTATGAATGTTAATTGCTTTTGTAGGTAATTTTAAGTTAAGTTCTCCAATATTTCCTTTAAATTTTTCCAGATTTTTCTACATATATTAACTTTTGCACAAAATACCTTACAGAAAAATCACATGATCATCACATGCATCATGAGCTTCTCATGTTAAAATCAAATGCACAAAACAGACTCAAAAACATGGTTTTATAACATTTTTACATGGAAGAAAAATCCTGTTTACTTTTTCACCTGAAAATGTTTTCAAAAAACCACACTTTCATTAGTGTTTCATATTTGTTCCATTTTTTTTCACAATGTGATTTTAACATGTTAAGCTAACGTGATTCAAATATTAATATTAATGTTTAATATTTTCAGTTCAATTTCATGTACAAAGCTGATTATTGTTAACATTTTCATTGCCATTAAAGTAAAATGACACAATTTAAACATATTGGAAAAAAACATATGTTAGATAGAATATGTACAAAAAAGCAACAAATAATAACTTGACTTCTAGATGATCATTTGTAAAAGTGGCAGAAGGTAGAGTTTTCTGATGAATCATCTGTTGAACTGCATCCCAATCATCACAAATACTGCAGAAGACCTATTGTGACCCGCATGGACCCAAGATTCTCACAGAAATCAGTCAAGTTTGGTGAAGGCAAAATTATGATTTGGGGTATGGGGGTGCACAAGAGATCTACAGAGTGGATGGCAACATCAAATGTCTGAGATATTAAGACATTTGTGCTGCCCATTACATTGCAAACCACAGGAGAGGGCAAATTCTTCAGCACAATCTCATACTTCAACCTCCACATCAAAGTACCTTAATGCAAAGAAGGTCAAGGTGCTCCAGGATTGGGCAGTTCAGTCACGAGACATAAACATTATTGACCATGTCTGGGGTAAGATGAAGGAGGAGGCATTGAAGATGAATACAAAGAATCCTGATGAACTCTCGGAGTCCTGCAAGAATGCTTTCTTTGCCATTCCAGGTGACTTTCTTAATTAAGTTATTTGAGTCATTGCATAGATGTATGGATGCAGTCCTCAGAGCTCATGGGAGTCACACACAATGTTAATTATTTTTCCACTGCATCATGACTATATTTGACACTGTACATTACTTCTGTTAAGTGACAAGACTTTTGTCTAAGCAAAGTCTGACCTTACTGTCCTAATTAAATAATTACAAATCAAGGCATGATCATATTTTATTTTGGTGAAATAAGTGTGATCTAGAGGCCTTTGCCTTTCATATAAGCCACTTCTACCAAATACCAAATGATCGACTAGAAGTCAAGTTATTACTTGTTGTTCCTAAAACTTGGATTTTTGTCTAAGACTTTTGTCAGGTAGTGTAAATACTCTAAACATTAATGCTATTGACCTTATGCTTGTAAATAACCTCCAGTTCATTTTTTGAGCCAGTAAGGACCATTCAGGAAAATGGTATTATGTCTTGGTATTATTTTACAGTTTTATTTAACTTATTAGCAAAATATACTTCTATTGACTTGTTACTGTATCTTAGTGATACAGGTATCTTAGTATCAAGTTATGAATTTATACTCAGCTTAGCCAACTTCAACAGGCATGCTTAGAGAAATGAGGTGCGCAAGGCAGTTCATCCTATGCTCTGAATCTGGGTGTTCTTTCACATTCTCACATATTACTCAGTCCACTGCCTCCAAATAAAACCCAGCAGACCTCCATTATGAATGACTCTCCTAAGGGGATCTCCTAAGGGACTCTTCCCTACAGCCTACTCATCCATCTCAGTCTTTCTATCATAGACAACAGGAAGGAGGCTGTGTGACTGCACAATCACTGTGAAGATTGACAGACTGACTATTTGTGAACACTCTCTCCATTTCTCTTTCACCCGTAACTCCCCCTTCTGTTTTTACATGCCCATGAACACACCTAATTTCCTTTAAGTCACTCGTTTCTTTTCTCTTCCATCATTTCCATGATTTCTCATCCCCAAGAGCTGATTGACATCTGTCCAACAGCCACAAATCCCTTTTCCAACCTACAAAAACAGGAAAACCCCACAAAAATGTCAATGTGGCGAAAAGGGAAGGAGTGACTGACTAAAACCCCTTAGTGAAAGCTAGACATCTTCTTGGCCGGCTCTCAAGTTATCAGCCCACAGCGATTGAAGATTGGGCTTGAACTCCCAAGCACTTAATTTTCATGTCGTGCTGTGCCTACATTCCCAAACTTCCTCCTAAAAGATAGAACATCCACCAGAGCAGCAAACCACCTTTTCCATGTCACACAGAGTTTACCAGGCTTTTTATTCCATGGGCTCTAAAAGGAAGTCTCATCAAGTTCACTTGTAATGGTTTCCAGTTCATTGCAAATTGATTTTTACACTGTCTGTACATTTCAGTTTTCTTTTACAACTTTAACAAAATATTGGATGCAAGTGCACAATTGCGAGGAACTACTGTAACTGTAAGTTGTGACACTGCTGACTTTAAAGGATAAATATCACAGAAATGAATATTCTGTCATGTACTCACAAGCATGTTATTATGAAATGGTTTAGTCTTGCATATATTCAGATATTTACATCGAAAGCAGAAGTTTTAGCAGTTCTTTTTAGCTCTGAAAATGTGAGGTGCACCACACTGACTTTAGGGAAGTGAGCTGTACTTTTTATGTTGCTAGGCAACCACTGTATCTTTTGTCTTGGTGCTGGAGCGCATGGCATCAGGTGCTTTTTCCTCACACAGTTGATTCTTTTTTAAAAGCAGGTGCACAAAGCACTTAATAGTGGCTTAACTAGAACCAAAGGGATTATATTGGTGCCTTGATGGGTGTAAAGTTGGCAGAAGGCCCAGATAATAGAAGCAGTGGACGTAAACCTTACTCGAGAGGTAATAATTAATAGTAAAGGCAGTGATCTTCAGCATTCTTGTTAGTAAACAGTCCTCTCTAGCTGAACACATAAGCTTGAATCTCATATGAAGCTTTGGAAGTTGAACCAGCAAGGTTACATTAGTGCCATGACCCAAATGGGCTTAAGATTTGGAGGGAGCAGGGAGTAGTAGCTATATAGGACATACTTTCTCACAACCGCCTCACGAGCTGCACTAACAATTGATTAGCATTGTTGTTAGTGCACCCTCCTTTATGCCGGAGATGCTAACTTGAATCCCACTTTATACGCTTTTGGTGTAGATACACAGGGCTTACATTGGTGTGACCCTGATGGGTGTAAGATAGTAGGAGATGAGCAAGTAAACAACACTCCTCTGGCCTTAAGAGGCTCGGTAGCAGATATTGTTGAAGGCTGTAGTCTTTAGCATCCTTGAAGGTGCACCTGCCTCCCTTTCCAGATATACTAGTTTGAATTCTGCTCAGAGCAGTGTGAGTAAAATGGGAGGGGGTACATTGGTGCTGTTACCTAGATGGGAGGGAGGTTTAGTGTAATGAAGGTAAACTTCCTAGTACTTCCTGGCATTAGTGAATGAAAGTTTCAGACCATGCTTTGTTTAAGTCCCACTCAGTGTTCCACTGTTGGTTTTCACAAACCCTCATTGTATGGACAGAAAACAGAAGAAATGTTGAATTTTATCTTACAAATTTGGAGTACAATAAGTGCTAGCAAGAAGCACAGTATACAGTTTTGAGTAAATTGATCTGTCGTTAATATGTTTGCAACTCATTTTACTTCCATAAAAAGACATGCATCCAAATGAAAGTTCTATGAATAGAAAAAAGCGAGCATTTTAGCCATCTTTCACTCTGTAAAACATTTGTATCCCCCTGCATATCCTATAAGTATATTCCTGCAAATCCCATATTCAGCTGAACATGTGGTTACTCGGGTTCAGTGTGCAATGTTCCAGTATATTCAGACAAGTTGTGCAGAACTGCATTAAGCTAGATGTGTCTGAGGTTAGCCGGTGCTGACCTCCATTACTGAAAGGGCAGATAGGCGTCTCATTTGTCTGTCTAACAGTGACATCCTCGGGGCTCACAGCTCAAGAAGGATAGTCAGTTGTTAACAGAGCACAGGGATCTACTGTTAATCATGGTCCACACCATTATCTCACTCTATTTGTCTTTTACTCTTTTACTAATGTTTTTATTTTTTTTCTTTCAGAGCAAAGAGGTGGGCCTCCAGCTGCAGGAGGATCTGATGAAAGTCCTCAATGAGTTGTACACGGTAAGATACAAGCACAGTCTAAATCCTTTCAAAACTAAACAACATTAAATACAACCCGAGCAGACAAATAAATGTATTATTTTAACACATTTGTGCCCAATAATGGGCTTTATTTCTGTAATTGTGATCGTGATCACGAGCGAACCGTTCTTTTTAAACAGATCTTCCAAGTGAACCTGTTGAACTAATTTACCAAATCAAACTGAACCATTTGAAACGATTTATGTCTCTGTTAAAATTAAGCACGTATCCACAAACAACTTCATTTTTACATGCCCCATACCCCCCTCTGACTAAACCAACATATATTGAGTTATTCAGGTATTGGAACAGTACAATGAGATCAGATTTAAGAAAGCGGTGAGCCGATAATACTGCACATACGTGATTTAGTGAACCGAACACAAACAGTACATGACAGCCTGCTGTAGCTGAACTAAGCGCTGGTAAACCAAGGGCTTAGATGAGAAGATCTAACAAAACAAAAGTTTATTTCTTAACAGAAAGTCTATTTATTTAATTAAGTGACTCGTGCTTCGGTTGGGTTGTAAAATGTAATTGTAAGAAACTTTTTAGATCATGGTGATGTTGTAACACTGTTTTGAAGATTGTCATCACTACTGTGAATCTACCCTCAGAAGCAGCATTGCACACATATTGTACTTAGGGCTGCTATATTGTGGGCTGTTGTAATTGAATTTGAGGATAGGTATATGGTAGTGGTACGTACGTAGATCGTAGTGTTCTTTTGTCAAAAGCCTATCTTTGGTTGAGTTTTTATTCGAAAATATTTATCGTCAGCATTTTTCGAGACATTTTTCCAGATTCAAATCCAATCGATTTTCTCTGGTGTTGAGCAGAATAGTATGCAAAAATCACTCCTTGACGTTAGATGGTGCTACACAACTTTAAGCTTCTGACACCTGCTTGTAATTAGAAAGAGGACAGAAAGTTGACTCGCTTGTTGTTAAAGTTACTGGCCTTCAAGTGCTGTTTAATGTAACTTTAGCAGCTCCGTGCAAGTGAACAAAAGTGCAAAACTGATTGGTAGAGAAGGTTAAAAAATAAAAAAATTAAAAATAAATCTACATGATGTGTTTCTGAAATGATGCTTTTACGCCTAGAGTTTTGCGCATTGGTGTGCACTATCACATTGGCACCCTTTATTTGACCACGAGGCATTAAACGTCAACAGAAAATGCAAGCAAAAAGTGTCCTGGTGTGCACCGGCCTTTACAAATATCATAATTTACAAAAAAAAAAAAAAAACAACAAACAAAAAACTAAAACTAATACTGAAACTAATAAAAACTCAACTAAAACTAATGTAAAATCCAAAACTGTTATAATCTTGACACAGTGTCCTGTTTCTAACTCTTTCAGCATCTTTTGTAGCATTTTGTCAAACTGCTAAATGCATTCGAGTGGTTATTTTGGTCTCTTGTGGTTGTATTCCAACCAGAGTTTTTGAGACGTGATGTTTGCTATACTTATTTTTCTTCGTGTTGAAAACATTTCAATAGCTTTTATTCACTGTGTGCCCCATGTGTGGTCGTGTTACAGGGTGTGCCTGAACTTTAGATTTAAAAAGTCCTACAAGGAACCATTTAAATGCATTTTAATGTTTATGCGCCTTTAAATGGATGTGTGTAGTGTATGTACGCGAACAAAATAATGTTTTACAAAACAGAAGTTGTAATTCCTTAGTGATACAGTGGGACGGGAAGAGGGAGCGAATAGTAATTATAATCTTCTGCCAGCTGGCATACGATTTGACTGCTTCCAACCTACCTGAGACTCTAAAGAAGATCTATTGCTTTTGCAGTGCCAAAGAGGAGCGATGCAGAGTATAAGAGCTCTCCAAATGGCAATGATGCTCTCGGGATGGTAATGAACAGCAACAATTGTCAGTCAGAAGTGCGAAATTCAGTCCCATCCAAAACCTACTGTAATCCTTGGAGTTTATGAAATTCCAGCTACACTATGTGTTTTTTTGTTGTTGTTTTTTGCCTTGAATAATAATTATTATAATTATTTAATATGCAATTTGTATGTATGGCACAGATTTTCAGTAAAGGCAGTACTTATTATATAGTCCTCATTAATATGATTATTAATGGTATTTATTCATGTCTTGAATTACTCTTTATTTTTATATTTTCTGTTTAATTACCTCACAAGTCACTTCAGGAGGAGGTGCAAATTAATTTAGCCAGACTGCGGTAATGTCATCTTACAGAAATATCATCAACAGTCCATCAGGTTATGTTTTTTCCCTCTCTCTCTGTTTTTAAAATTGTCGATAAAGCGCTGTCAACAAATATTTTTCCTCCACACCCCAGAAGATGTGACAGTGCATCAGACTATGGCAGCAGGATTAGTCCAAAAAGGTGCAATACTTTTTACGGTTGGGTCTGTTTTAGTTTGGATTATGTTCTTACCACAAATAAATCGCTAAAGGGTTCGTTTGAAAGCGTACTGAGACCACTTCTTCAAGGAGGTCTCAGTATGCTTTTATGGTCTGCTTTTTGGTGTGCACTCTAGTGTGATTGCTACATTCAGACCTGCCCAAACAAACCACACCAAGAGGGAAAACGAACTCTAGTGCTATCTATTTAGTCTATTTAGATCTTTAACAAGTAAATGGGGTCTACAAAGTTTTCTTCTTGGCATCACCTCCTAAACATTCTTTTGAATTTATTTATTTATTTTTTAAAATAAGATTTTGGGGATTTTCTTTATTTGACTTCAGAAAGCCAGGTGCATTCATTCATTCATTCATTTTCTTTTCAGCTTAGTCCCTTTATTAATCTGGGGTCGCCTCAGCGGAATGAACCACCAATTTATCCAGCATATGTTTTTGTGCAGCGGATGCCCTTCCACCTGCAACCCATCTCTTGGAAACATCCATAAATACTCATTCACACTTAAAAAACTACGGACAATTTACGCTACCCAATTCACCTGTACCACATGTCTTTGGACTGTGGGGGAAACCGGAGCACCCGGAGGAAACCCACGTGAACATGAGGAGAACATGCAAACTTCACACAGAAACGCCAATTGACCCAGCCGAGGCTCGAACCAGCGACTTTTTTTGCTGTGAGGCGACATTGAATCTGTCAGCTATAGTGTAGATGAATTCTGTAACTTAAGGGACAATGGACAACGGAGGTGAAGATCCACATGCGGTTTATTAAACAGAGAATGGTCAGGCTGGCAACGGTCAAACAGGATCAAACAGGTACATACAGGGAAATCCAGAAGTGTAGTCAAAGTCACAGGTGAGTGGTCAGTTCAGGCGACAAACAACATACGTAAAACAATAAACAAGGCGAGGGCCAGAAAACAGGGTGAGGCAAGACAATGGAATGCTTTGAAATGTACGGTATATATCAAACAAGACTCAGCAAAGTGTGTCAAACAGAGCAGTATATGTGGTCTGTGTAATCTGTGTTAAAGTTCTTGAGTAGCTAACAGGTGTGTGTGTGGTGCCTGACAGGATTTGTAGTTCTTTTATTGGCAGATTTGTAGTTCTTCAGCGATCTGTATGGACTAGTTCACTAGTGATTGTGACAAATACAGAGAGTAGTGTGTTTGATTCTTGCTCATTTTGATACTGTTGATTTTAAATAATAGTTTTAAATAACATGTAATCATTGTTACTACAGCAACATAGTATTTGTGCCAACTATTTATTATTAAAAGTAGCAGTAAACCAACACGCACCCTATTTGTGGAAAGGGATGTCTTTTAGTGTTTACATTCTAGCAAAACAAACCTTTTAATAGCAGTTAACCTCTGTTTTAACCTTCAGTTGTAGTATAATTACTGTTTTATAAACTTAGCATTGCAGCATCTATACCACCGCAGAGACCCATGTTCCCTGGCAGTGCCAAAATTAGCAGTGGTGCATGGAAAGATGATTCAGTGGATTGCAAGTCATGTTATTATCCTGCTGTAATGGGCGAGTACATTAGTATGTGATGTGTTGCATGAGACGTACATGTATTTAATTAGTGACAATAACTCTAATAATTTCAGGATTTTATTTTTATTGGGACAGGAAATTAAATCAGAAATGCCCCATGCACATATTTTTGTATTGCCTGTTTTTTTTATTTATTTATTAATTTTTTTGGGCAATGAAAGAACAGTTTGGGGTTTTTAGGGTGGGGTAAGCTCAAATGTGGTGGAGGGAGGACCCATGATATTGGCTTTCCTTGAATGGCGACTGGATTCCCCCCATACACATCCACACATGGTCTCCTGGGAAATGACTGTAAGCCATTTCAATAGCCCATAAAAAGCAAGCAAATCCTCTAATTAAAGAGTTAAGGATGGTGAAAATAAACCTGGCACCATTTTTAGCGACATCTGTGCTTTAGATGAAGAAAGGGAGGAATGAATGGAAAAGCTGATGACGATTATCTCAGCCTTTTGGATCTAAGAGGAACCTCCTAGGGCTGGTGGAAAAAAAGTTTATTTTACACAGTTTTTAACAGTGGCTAGTTCAATAGTTCACCCGGAATTAAGTTCTGTCATCATTTACTTGTCATTCTGAACTGTTTTTTTCTGGGTGAACTATTCCTTTAAGAACTGGAAAAGAGCCTGACACTTCTATGCAGTTTATAAGAGCAAGAAAAGGCCATTGAGACCCGCCTACATGTGTTTGCCAAATTCCTCTTGTAAGTGTTTCCTATTAATGATGACATTGCAAAGAGCTTACTAAATTTATTATGCCCATCATGGAGGCTGACACCCTTGTGAAAGCCAGTGTAAATGGAGGGGAAATGGAGTCCATTAAGTTTCTCTCTCTCTTAGATGAAGAGTGATGGCTTGGTATCATCTCTCCACTTTTGGCAGAGGGTTTGATTGGAGGCACAAAAAATGGCATCACTCTTTCATGTTCTTCTCAAAAGAGCAGGAGTTTGGAATGAGATCCTTCCTTCAGTCCCATTCCCAAATTTAGCATCTGCTCAATACTGAATCAAGTTTGGTGTTGTCTTTTTGGCAACGGCCTCTCATGTGGAGGTGATTTGCTCTTTGTTCAGATCAAATCTTGTTATATGGGTTTATAGGCTCTTAAAGTTAAAGGGATAGTTCACCCAGAAATTTATGTTCTGTCATAATTTACTTAATGTTTTTTCATGTTGTTCCAATGTCCTGAGACTTTAGGTTATTTTAGAACACAAATTAATATATTTTAGGTGAAATCTAAGAGCTCTTTTATCTTCCATAGAAAGCAAGGCTTTTTAAAACAGTCAAAGTCTAGAAAGACACTAAGATTGTCAAAACTGTCCATATGTCATCAGTGGCCAACTGTAATATTATGAAGCTACATAAACGCTGATCAAAATGAAATACTGACAAAAATATGTCAGCAGCATGATGGACATACTGTACTATTCATGAAATATACAAAAACACATTTACAATACTTCCAAGATGTAATTACAATGTAGATACAATGTTATAACAATGTAGTAATTATATAAATATAATGTTTAACAACGTAGTAATTACGTTGTTATGACAATGTAATTACAATGTTATGACAATGTAGTTACAATGTTATAACAATCTAAGTACATGGTTATTACATAGTAATTACATCTAAATTAGAAGTTTGTAATTACATAACTACTACGTATATTTATTTCTAAATACACAAAATTAAATTGTAATGACATAGTAATTAAGTTTTTAATTAAATGTGTATTGTACATTTACATATAAAACTATAAATAACCAAATATTGTACATGCAATATACAAAAAAAAAAACAAAAACAAAAAACATTTACATTTAAAAACATTATTTCGGATGTGACTACAATGTAAATACAATGTAGTGACATAGTAATTACAATGTAACAACACCATAATTGCACACAAGCTAAAAGTTGGCAATTACAAATTACGTCCCGGATTAGATCTACTGTACTGTACATGAAACATAAAAACATTTACAATACTATCATATGTGTCATTACAATGTTTTAACAATGTTGTAATTACAGTGTTTTTTTCAATATTATAACAAAGTAATTGCAATGTTATAACAATGTAAATACAATGTAAATGCAATGTTGTTACAACGATGTAATAACTATCTAAAACATTGCAATTGCAATGTTATAACAATGTAATTGCAATGTTAAAACAATGTGATAAGTGTTATAAAAATGTAGTAAATGATATGTTATGACTGTGCAGCAATTACAATGTTTAGAGCAATGTATCAATTACAATGTTATGACAATGTAATAAAATTGTTATACCGCTATTGTAATTACAATGTTATGACAATGTAGTTACAATGTTAAAACAATCTAAGTACATTGTTATTACCTAGTAATTACATCTAAATTAGAAGTTTGTAGTTACATAACTACTACGTATATTTATTTCTAAATACACAAAATTACATTGTAATGACATAGTAATTAAGTTAATTAAATGTGTATTGTACATTTACGTATAAAACTATAAATAACCAAATATTGTACATGCAATACACACAAAAAAAAAAAAAACATTTTCATTTAAAAACATTATTTCGGATGTGACTACAATGTAAATACAATGTAGTGACATAGTAGTTACAATGTAACAACACCATAATTGCACACAAGATAAAAGTTGGCAATTACAAATTACGTCCCGGATTAGATCTACTGTACTGTACATGAAACATAAAAACATTTACAATACTATTATATGTGTCATTACAATGTTTTAACAATGTTGTAATTACAGTGTTTTTTTAAAATATTATAACAAAGTAATTGCAATGTTATAACAATGTAAATACAATGTAATTGCAATGTTATTATAACAATGTAAATACAATGTAATTGCAATGTTGTTACAACAATGTAATAACTATCTAAAACATTGCAATTGCAATGTTATAACAATAATTGCAATGTTAAAACAATAGTATAACAGTGTTATAAAAATTTAGTAAATGATATGTTATGACTGTGCAGCAATTACAATGTTTAGAGCAATGTAGTAATTACAATGTTATGACAATGTAATAAAATTGTTATACCACTATTGTACTTACAATGTTATGACAATGTAGTTACAATGTTATAACAATCTAAGTACATTGTTATTACCTAGTAGTTACATCTAAATTAGAAGTTTGTAATTACATAACTACTATGTATATTTATTTCTAAATACACAAAATTACATTGTAATGACATAGTAATTAAGTTTATTAAATGTGTATTGTACATTTACGTATAAAACTATAAATAACCAAATATTGTACATGCAATATACAAAAAATAAAAAAACATTTACATTTAAAAACATTATTTCGGATGTGACTACAATTTAAATACAATGTAGTGAAAAAAACATTTACAATACTATCATATGTGTCATTACAATGTTATAACAATGTTGTAATTGCAGTGTTTTTTTCATTATTATAACAAAGTAATTGCAATGTAATAACAATGTAAATACAATGTAATTATAATGTTGTTACGACAATGTAACAACTATCTAAAACATTGCAATTGCAATGTTATAACAGTGTAATTGCAATGTTAAAACAATGTGATAACAGTGTTATAACAATGTAGTAAATGCAATGTTATGACTGTGCAGCAATTACAATGTTTATAGCAATGTAGTAATTACATAGTTATGACAATGTAATAAAATTGTTATACCGCTATTGTAATTACAATGTTATGACCATGTAGTTACACAACTACTACGTATATTTATGTATAAATACACAAAAACTGTACATTAAATATTCAAAGAAACATTTACATTTTTAAATATTATCTTGGATGTATTTACAATGTAATGACATAGTAAGTACAATGTAACGACACAGTAATTGCACACAAGACAAGTTTGTAATTACATCTCAAATGTATTTACAATGTTATAACGGGATTACATCTCAGATTACAATGTTATAACAATGTAGTTACAATGTTGTTGTGTGAGCTACTAAAACGAATGGGTTTCATAGCGCAGCGTGGTGCTTTCCGCATCCGATGTGAAAAAAACCAAGGGAGAGTGAATAGGGTTGGGTACCGAAACCGGGTGCCATTATAGCACTGGTACCTTTGTAACTGGTATGTACCAGGCCACTGGTACTGCGACAAGGACGTAAGAAGCATTAAGAGAATGGCAGAAATTAAACTAATCCTTTAATTTACACATTGTCAGTATATTACTCAGAACTTCCAACTCTCGTTGACACTTTTATGGGATTGCGAAATTAGCTCATGATAATTTGCATAATCTGTCCCTTAAACTCTTTAATGCACAGGTGATGAAGACTTATCACATGTACAACATGGACAGCATCAACGCAGAGAGCAAGCTGAAGGAGGCAGAGAAGCAGGAGGAGAAACAGATGAGCCGCAGTGTCCGGCATGAGGAAAAACAGACCCCTCGCTCACCTGACTCTCTCACCAACATCAAGATCGAGGATAAACACGTGCGCCGCAGCTCCGTCAAGAAGATTGAGAAGATGAAGGAGAAGGTGAGCAGCCACATCACTGGCTCTAGCCAAGCCACATTTATTTCTATGGCGCTTTATATCAAAAGATACTTAAGAAAAATGAACAGGCAAATAATAGAAGTCAGATAAGAAGATTCCGTCAGTTTGGAACATGTTCAATGGACTGTTTTTATCGGGCAGCAGAATAGTAGCAGAAGTTCTAGATATTAAAAAGAATGTCGAGTTCATCTCAGTACAAAAGTTACTGTTGATGAGGTGAACAAAATGGTCATTATTCATTCACCCTGCACATGTTTTAAACTTGTTTTAAAAGTTTTTTTCTTGTTCTGATGAACATAAAGGCGACACTTAGAAGAATGATAGAAACCAATTGACTTGCATAGTATTTTTTCTTGCTAAATATGTAAAGGTTTACAGTTTTTTTAAATATCTTATTTTGTGTATTTAGTAACAGAAAAAAACAAAACAAGTTTGGAACAAGTAAAGGAACACTCCACTTTTTTGGAGAAAATGAATCGTTTTTTGAATCCACTCGGGCGATTTCTGGGTCTGCCAGGTGCATTTTAAGCTTAGCTTAACAGATCATTAAATCAGATTAGACTATTAGCATCTTGCTCAAAAATGAGTTTCAATCATTTGTTAAAGCTTGACTTTTCTGTTGTTACATTGTGTACTAACACATGATGGAAAACGAAAAGTTTCCTATGCTGATTTAGATAGGATGCTGATAGCTATACTGTTATGCTGTGTTCACAACAGAGGCGAATGAGGCGGCGCGAATGACACGATTCATCTAATGAAGGGGCGTGAGTAGAGGGTTTTGAGCGTTTGAAGATCGAGTTGGAAAATCAGAACTTCAGCAGACATTCAGGCTGCGTTAACCAGTCAGGAGCTTTTTAATGTAGGGCCTGTTGTTGGTGTCCTGAGGCGAAATTCTCTTGCCGACACCGGACAACAGTTCATCAAACTGGGCTTGGCTCAGTCCAAAGCACAGCTAAAAGCCTCCATCATCCAGGTATATTTTCTGGAAGAGTTAATGAACTCCCAGGGTATGTGCACCTCTAAAAGGATCTAGTGGATTCAGACACGGCGCTGAATGAATATACGCTGTTTATCAGCCTTCCTAAAACACATAAACACAGCTACTCTCTCAATAAAATTCATATTAGCCATTTAGCTACGAAGCTAGAGTCACCGGGCAAACAGAAGTCCTGCCCATGATGCGAATCCGCGTCTAATGTGAAGTGAATTTGATGAGCAAATGAAGCAAATTTAACACGAATGAAGCGAGTAAACTCAAAACGTGTCTATTTACACTCGAGTAATGTAATTTATTTGTGCGTTCCGCGTCTGGTGTAAACACAGCATTACTGTGGTGTAATATTTAAGGAATTTTGCCGCTGTACCCTGACTGCAGGTGCAATGAACTATCCCCAGCTAGGTGACTAGGTAACAACACTGTGTAATATCAATGCTTCTTTGAGTGAGATGCTAATGGTCTAATCCAATTCAATGAGTTATGCTAAGCCAAGCTAAAAGTGCTCCCTCTAGACTTGTAAAATGAGCCTTTTACCTAAAAAGTAAAGTGTTTCTTTAAGGGTGAGTATATTATGACATCATTTAGATCTTTGGATAAACTATCGCTATAATGGATAGAGAAACAGCGCTCTCTTGGACAGTTTAAACAGAGAATGTGGAGGAAAGGTGAACGTGGGCAGGAGAAGAATGAACAGATGGAGGGAGATTCAGGGAATTGGAAAGGTGATGGAGTGGGAGTTGAGAGACAGCGAACACAGGAGCAATGAGGTGGTGAGCGATGCAGAGAATGCCGTCACTGCCAGATGGGGATGAGGGTCCAGAATCTGATCCTGGACAGATTTAATGACCTGTTGATGGGGGTTATTCTGTTTATAACACACAAAAGATACACAATCCTTGCTAATCATAGATAAATAAGTCTGTACTCATGACATGGCTCTATGGAATGTGTTATTCTAAATGGTTAATCAGCAAATTCTGCAGTCAAATGAAAATAATAAATGATAAATTAATTAAAGAAAGACCCATGTGACCAGCAATGGATGGTTTTGACAGCTGTTAATTAAAAAAACATAATTTGAAAAATTTAAATTTAGCAAAAATACAAAAAATAAAAATAAATAAAAAATAACAGACCAATATTGTTGTGTAATATTATTTGTAATTGTGTAATATTAGTTTCAATGTCCAAAATAAATTCAATAACATTTTTACAATGTAACTATAGTCGTTTAATGTCCAAAAATTAACTAAATAAGATGCTGACAAATTATTAAATCAAATTAATTAAATTTTATTTTATTTTATTTTTAATTTAATATTTAATTTATTTATTTAATTTTGTTTTATTTTATTTTCAATTTAATATTTAATTAATTTTTTTTACATTTTATTATTTTCTTTATTTTATTTTTATTTAATTTATTTTAACTTGAAATAAATTAAAATACCACACATGAAATTTAGTTATTATTATACATATTGATATAAATGGTAATAGTAATATATAATTGGTTTATTACAAAGCATACAATGTACAATCAACGTATATTCAGCTAGGCTTTTTTACAAAATAAACCTTTTTAGTCAAGGCTCGACATGTTTGCAAATTTATAGTAGTGATCTCATGTTCTTGAGTTTCCAGGCCACAAATTCCAGAAATGTCCAATTGGATACGGTAATCCTGAACACTAAACGCCACTCAAAATGAACCTCTCCTCTATGACTGTGTATACTGTGTTGTTGAATGTCATTTGATGATGTAATGAGACGACATGAGGTCAGAGGTCAGGCATTAGCATGTCTAGGCCTGATATTGTTGTCAATTCATGGCTTTGTTCGCCTGAACTTTTCTTGCTATCATCTTTGTCCAGTAGCAGGCGCTTACAGAATGATGGATGGGATCATTGCTAGGTTGTTCCAGGGCCGCTTCTGTTTCCACAAGACTAACAGCAGAATCTCTATGTGTACACAAGTACAGTACAGATGCAAATGTACTGGAGTTTGTGGCGGCTGCTCTGACACTGGCATATTAGTAACAGTTAAGCAAGGTTTTGTCCATGTGCTAGGGTTTCACACAGAATTATTTTATACACGTTTGTTGGTGAACCAATAATGTTACTAGAATTCAACATACAATAAACTTTTTTTTTTGTTTGTTTGTTTTATTTAGTTATTATTTGTTTTATTTATTTATTTTTATTTATTTTATTTTATATTTTTTTGTTTTATTTTGCTTTTTATTCTATTTAATTATTTTTTTTTATTTTATTGTATTTTACCTAAAATCTATTTAGTTTAATTTAATTTTAATTTATTCTATTTTAATCGATCAATTAATTGAATTGATTTTTATGTGTAACTTATTACTTATTTTATTGTATTTAAAAATTCAATTTAATTTAATTTTAATTAATACATATTTATTTATTTTTATTTTATTTTATTTTAGTAGAATTTATTTATTTTTCATTTAAAATTATATTTTTGATTGAATATATTTTATCATTTAATTAATTGAATAGTTTTAATGTTGATAAAATAAATGTGTTAACCAGAGTTGGACTTCCTGATGCTATCATATTACACTACTTTGAGAGACTTTGGTGTTTAAGTAATTTGGACTACTTTTAAGATCCATTTGGTTCTTTTCAGGGGTCGAGACCGCCTGTATTTGATTTGACTTGATTCATTATCTTTCAATTTTTTTGTCTCATCATGGTTTTACCTTTTATTCTCAGCGGCAGGCCAAATACACTGAGAATAAGCTGAAAGCTATCAAGGCCAGGAATGAGTATCTTCTGGCTCTGGAGGCCACAAACAGCTGCGTCTTCAAATACTACATCCATGATCTGTCTGACCTCATCGATGTAAGTCCACCTCTTTGACTTCAAAAGCTTATGTGTCTCTAGTCTTCTGTTAAAAGTTAATGCAAAAACTTTTTTTGAGCTACACCACTTATATTCCTCTTTAATGCTTTTGTCATGTTTAAAATAAAATTTAAAAAACAACATTCACGTATAATTGTGCAATATCAGGGTTGGGCAAGCTATTTGAAAATGTAGTGAGCTAAGCTATTAGCTAATCTGTTTAAAATGTAGCTTAACTACACTAAAAGCTACCCTTTGGGAAATGTAGCAAGCTAAGCTAAAAGCTACTTGGCAAACGTAGCGTAGCGATATCTAAGCTATTTTTGCTATTTAAATTTTTAAATCAAAGCAACTTAAATTTAAATTGTAATAAAAATTTATTACTTTAAATAATTAATTTGTCTCCATTTCAGGTTCTTTTTTAAACAATTCTAACAAATGTCATATTTATTAAAATACATTACATTACATGTACATTAGAATGCACAAAAAATGAAAATGAAAATCTGTACTTTTTTAAACATTTCAAATGAGAAATCATTTGAATTTAATTTAAAAAAAAAAACACAGAATGATTATGGTGTACTATCAATATGCTTCAAAAGCATTAAGAAAATTGTTCTCACAGTTAAATATTATTGGCCAACTTTTTTTTCACCCTGCACTTGATTAAGTCCAGTTCTCTGCAGCCTTAAAAGGGTGTTTTAAAAGGAATGGCCTGAATGTGCCCGTGTTTAAAGTGTACCGCAGTGCAGTAATGGCCTCTGACAGTGTGTTCTGCCTCATCAGGCTTCTTTCTTCAAGTGTGACCCTGACCTGTAGATTCCCCAATGTGAGCTCCTGTAGAGGACCCGCTTGTCCCACTGTATCAGCATCAGATTCTCAATAAAACATCCAGAAAGTCCAGAAAGCAAATAAGCCTTTGATGGGTTACAGAGGGGCCCACACAACGCTGTCCTCTTTTTGAGTGAACTTCTGTGAATATAAGTTTCTGCCTGATTGATTTAGATTTTGTGGACATTTAATAAAAAGAAAAAAAAAATATATATATTTTTTCAGTACTGGGTTGCGGTTAGAAGGGCATTAGCTGTGTAAAACATATGCCAGAAGAGTTGCCGGTTCATTCCGCTGTGGTAACCTCTGTAATAGAGGCTAAGCCGAAGGAAAATGAATAAATGAATGATTAAATGAATAATAATAATAATAACAGCAACAATAATAATAATAATAATAATAAAAGTAAAAAATACTATTATATTATTACTGTAATTATAATGTTACATTTCGATTGGTGCTAATAAAATTATTTATTTATATATTATTATTATTATTAGTATTAGTATTAATTGTTATAATAATAATAATCATAATAATAAAAATAGGAAAATAATTAACACTGCTATTATGTTACTAATTCAAAGTTTTATTTTAATTTGCACTAATAATTATATTTAATAATAATAATAAGAAGAATATGTGGATGAAAGCAATGATGTAGTAATTTACTTTAAATTTTAACTCTATTTAAACTCTAAATCTTCATAAACTGCTTGAAATAAAATGCTTTTTTTTCCCTTTCCCCTTTCGTCTACCAGTGCTGTGATCTGGGCTACCATGCCAGCCTGAACCGTGCACTGCGTACCTACCTCTCGGCTGAGTTTAACGTGGAGACATCCAAACACGGGGGCCTGGAGACCATTGAGAATGCAGCAGAAAACCTGGAGGCCAACTCAGACAAACAGCGGCTCATGGAGACCTACAACAACGTCTTCTGTCCTCCGATGCGCTTCGATTTCCAGTCTCACATGGGTGACATGGTCAGTTGGCGTGATTATGACTGCTTATGATATAGCACTGTTCAAATACTGCTAATTATTTTCAATCCCCAAACAATATACCAACAGCAGAGCTACAATGTGGGTAATAGGTGATACAACAGATATACAAAATCCTGAAGGCAAAAATATTGTTTTCATGCTTATTTATTTACATTTTTGTTCAACTTTTAGATGTATCCTTTATAGCTTTTTCTCCTGCATTGAGCCATAAATCTCCACTTCAGCAACACCAACATACACTAAACTTCTTCAATTTAGTTAATTAATTAATTAATTTATTTATTTCTAATAAATTATTAATTAATTAATTTCTATATTCTAAAGTATTTTACACATTCAAGACTTAATTTTGAGCCCTTATTATATACATCTTATTCCTTCATCTAATGTCCAGAATTCTAGGCTATGTATGCAAATTAGTGCATATTTAATGAAATAATGCATATTCAAACAGCATTTTCGTAATAAAAGGTTTTAAATTCTAAGTTTAAAAAATCAACTGTGGAAGTCTGCTAATAACTATTAGCTAATTTTGTTTCTGGATTTACCAGCAATTTTTTGCCTTACGCAAATAAGTGTTGCTTTAATGATGCCAAATGCTTTTGCTCCATTATATCAAACATCTTGACAATGTCACAAAAAAACAATAACTCTACAAAATACCAGTCAGTGCTGTTACACAATGTTCAACATTGTCTCTCCTGCTGTTACATGAGAATCTCACAAGACTGTGTCTCACTGCATGTCCAGACAAACCCAGACACCTCCAGAGGAATGAAGCGTTTCTCAATCAGTGACAGACGTGCCTGCTGAGAGGCCTCTGTTGCTGGAGCCCTGAAATAATAAATGTTGCCATTGTGAAGTTTTGTTCTTAATTGGCAATTTGACTGCTAAGATTATTGGAGCTGATATTTAGATATTTAGTCATGCATTGAAATTGTGCATCATGAAATATCATACCTGGTATGCTTGCCTGCACACTGACTTTCTTTCTTTCTTTCTTTCTTTCTTTCTTTCTTTCTTTCTTTCTTTCTTTCTTTCTTTCTTTCTTTCTTTCTTTCTATCTTTTTATTTTCTAAAATGTATTTATCTCTCTATTTATTTTTTATTTATTAGTTTGTTTATTGTTTATTTTAAATATATTATTGTATTTCTTTCTTCAACTTGCATTTCTTTCTTTTTTTCTAAAATGTAATTGTTTGTTTGTTTGTTTGTTTATTTATTTACATATTAGTTTGTTTTAAATATTATTGTATTTTTTTCAACTTGTATTTTTTTCTTTCTAAAATATATTTGTTTGTTTGTTTATTTATTTATTTATTTATTTACTTACTTACTTACTTATCTATTTATTTATTTATTTATTTATTAGTTTGTTTATATGGAGGACCAGGAGAGCTGTTTAGAAATAAAATGTGTATAAATAAATCACAATTTAAATGGACATTTAATGGACAAATAATTAGACATATTTAAATTTTTTTATTTAAATTGTGTTTATAAATGTCTTTGAATAAAGCAATAAATCAATGCATTTAAAAGTAAGTTTTAAATGTGTATTAATAAATAAACAACACATTAATTGTCCATTTAAATTGTGATTTAATTATACACATTTTTATCCTTCAATAATAAAATTATTAAATTGTTTCTTCAATTTATTTCTAACTGGCACTCCTGGTCCTCCATATGTTTAATGTTTTATTTAAAATATTATTATTATTTTTATTTTTTTTTACTTTTATTTCTTTTAAAATTATGTTTTTTTATTTGTTTGTTTAAAGTTTTACTTAATGTATTTTTGCATTTTTTTTTCAAACTCATCTTTCTTTGTTTGTTTTAAACTCATTTCAATAATATTGGTAAATAATTTAATTAAATTAAATAAACTGTAACAATACTTTAACAATTATTTATATTTATTAAATGTTTATTTTGATTTTCAGAAAAATTCTTAGTGTATTACACCTTGCTTGCTTGCCTGATTCTTTCAAGCTGAAGCCAATTTTACAGTGTCTGTTTTAAATGTCAAATAAACAAATACATCAATGTAGAGTATAAATAAAAACACAAAGCACTTTAAATATTGAAATTAAATTGAAGGAAACATCTTAAAGTAAAATTAGATGCAACACCTCTCCCAAAGGATTACATTTTAATTTTGTGAAATCAATCAACAGTGTCAACAAATCAACAGTGCTTTCTGCTGTGTTGAACTTTGCACTGCTGTTTTTGTTTTTAGCCAGCTCTGCATCAGTGTCCTGGATGTTTGTATGTGTGTGTGATGAACAGAGCAGCTGGTTTTCCCCAATGCACATGTGCCCCGTCGAGCGTTCGGCCCTCAGGGAAAGGGTGGACCACACTGAGCCAGATGTTCCCCAGCTGGCAAAAAAAGACTGAAAGCGTAAAAGAAAGACATGCAGGCAGATATAGGCTAGCAGAGGTCACTCCGCTCTTTATAGCATATGGGAACAGCAGCTGTATGATTACTGCTGGACAGGGTTTTGCTTCACTTCTCTGCTTTGTCATCTCAAGTTTTTGTTGTTGTTGTTGTTGTTTTATTCTCCATCAGGTTGGACATTTGTGTGCCCAGCAGCCTGTGCAGGGAGAGCTGATCCAGAGATGCCAGCAGCTTCAGTCCCGTCTGTCCACACTGAATATAGAGAATGAAGAGGTGACAAATGAATAGTAAACGTGTTTGTATACATAGTTGCAAATGTATATGGCACATACAGTACCAAAACTACACACAGTATATAATGTATACAAATGCATGCATACACTTGATGAGATTCATCTGCAGTCATCTTTCAAGAATTGTGTACACATGCATCTCACCTGTCAAACTTTGAACACTTTTTTCACATCCGTTTCCTTTTACTCTCTTCTAAATCAAAGCATTGAGTTGAGTCAAAGTTATTTAATTAAGATATTTCACTACAAATGCTCTCACACAAGTTACAATGTAATTGATAAAAACTTTGGAAATGTTGAATATAATATATAAAATATGTATATTCCACTGAATTTCATAGTTGTGCTATTTATATTAAAGAATTTGGCAGACACTTTTATCTAAACCAAACACATGAACAACAATCGATAAATCCCTGGTGCTTGAGTGTTTGTTTACGTATTTAGGCTAATTTGATAAAATCTTAAGGGGTGTAGATCTGTTTAACTTTATAATTAAACATTTATGTTGAAATCCATCGAAGGAAATGAGAAGGAAGTCCATTGATTTTTGCCAGACGTCCACATAAGTCACTTTAATGTGTTTTAAATGGCTATGGTTGGACTGAGGAAGTAACATAACATTCTTAATGGGTTAATGTTTGCATTTCAATAAAGCACAAAAGTCAATATGAGACTATTATGCTATTTTGTCTCTTACTCTAAAATATACCATTTATAGGATCAATGTGTTTTTACTTGTTTTCTGACTTGTGTTCAAAATATTTTAAAGATTTTTAAGATTAATTTAGTGTATGTCTTACCACATTTCAATCTTACTTTTTCTAGTTTTTAAACATCTTCATCAGCATTTGTAGTTCTGAGAGTAACTCTTGCAAACATGGCATTAAAATAACATTCATCCGTTTTTGGGGTCCCCTGACACGTTTCTGTTTTGGTCTGCTGTGCGTTTCAGAATTTGCATGCATGTGTACACTGTTAAAAATTGCTTCATGTTGTCTAAACACAAATCAATAAAGTTAACTTAATTGTTTTTACAAATTTAAGTTAATTGAACATAAAACAATTAAGTTATCCCAAAAAACTCTCAAGAATTGTGGTGATTGAGCTTTTTATGAATAAGTAGCTTGAACATGCAGCAAAAATATTTTTTGAGTGTATGTTGTCAAACTGATGAAGATCTTTGTTAGTGTTTTTCTGTTTGCATGATTTTTCCTAACTTGGAGTTTGTTTGACCTCTCTCAGTCACCGCACAAAATATGTCAGAGATTATTTATTATAGCCCTGCGATTTAATCTCATTTTGTGTGATACCAAAACATGCCATGGGAAAGAAATTGCATGTGTATCGGCATATTAGATTCGTAAAACAGCATCGCTTGGACATGTCGACAACACTAACACAACTTCAAATATTTAAATTCTGGATATTATGACATGCACATTCCTGGAAAAAAATATTTAGCACTCCTAAAATCGAGGCATTTGAAAACTGATATAGAGAGCTCCCTTTGAATGAAGTCAACTTTTTCAGACATTTTTATGCCTAAACAGTAAAATGACACACTAAAAGATATTGAAAGTGTAAATAAACATAATGAAAAATATATTAAATATAAAATTTTAAATATTAAACTACCAAAATATAGTACTGTTTCTGTTTTCGTATAGGTTAAAACAATTAGAAAACCTATAGTTTAGAAAATTGTTAACAAATTTTGAAATAAATATATAAAATTATTAGGAAAACAATAACAAATGCATAAAGATAATACTAGAGAGCACAACAGAGTAGACACGTTCATAGTTTCTATGATGAAATTAAATTCTCCCATATGTCCACTTACTTATGATCACCATTCATTTTGGCTTACATTTTTCAAATGAAGCATTCCCAATCATGAATTAAATCCATAATTTAAGTGTAGGGAATTGAATGCCTTTCCAAAACCTCAGTATTATATGTGCTGCTGTAGTTATATTAACAATTATAAGGGAGAACACATCATTTTTAAAATATGGAACCTCAGTTTTATCACCTAAAAGACATATCCTAGGTGAGAGAGGAATGTTAAATGCCAGGCATCTGCCTAATTTTTTTAACACAGATTCCCTAAAGGGTAAAATCTTTGTACACTACCATAAAGCATGGAAGTATGTGCCAATCTCTTGTTCACATTTCCAGTGTTTTTTATCATCCAAACATCCCATTGAAAATCTATAATTTATAGATATATAATATAGATATAATTTATTATATTACAATATTTGAATTCAGTGCACCCGTTTATACGACATTAAAACACTTGATGAATCAATCCAAAGCGGGAATTCCTAAATCAATCACTTACTTTGGTTGTAATATTTCTGACAAATGTGAACTATAATAGTTATGCTGTTCCTCCAGGTTAAGAAGACCATGGAGGCCACTTTACAGACCATCCAGGACATGGTGACCATAGAGGACTTCGATGTGACCGACTGCTTCCACCACAGCAACTCAATGGAGTCGGTCAAGTCCACAGTGTCTGAGTCTTTCATGAGCAAACCCAGCCTGGCCAAGAGACGAGCCAACCAGCAGGAGACCGAACAGTTCTACTTCACGGTAAATGAGACTGAGTAGCAGAGAAACCAGTTTAGTACGGGGTCATTGGGTTGAGGGACGCATGCGGTGGATTGGACGATGGTAAATCTGAGGGCATTGAAGGACAAGAAGGGAAAAGGCAAAGGAAGGGTGATGAAGGGAGAAGATAAGAGATTGAATGTTGGAGATAGAGCTTAATGTCTATTCTTCTCTATCAGAGCCTTTTAAGAAGCCTTTGACTGAGAAGAAGGCAATTAGAGGAGAACGCTGCTGTTGACCAGCCTCCATTGATCTGCGCTTGTTTGTAGACTAATGAAACTGTGTTACTTTGTAATTCTCCACTAATAACATTGCAGTGGAAGTTGTTTTCTGGATAGATTTTTACAAAATACCCAGAAGACAATACAGTAAGAGGGAAATAATAAGACACTGGTCTCAAAGGCACCTTTATAAAGTTTATAGAGAAGGTTGGTGTTACAGGGGAACATTAGTGTCAGCATGACTGTATCAGAAAATGAATAGAATGAAAAATAATACATACAGTTGATATAATGGTAGTTGTAGTATGTTGAGTTGAGTTTTTGTTTCTTTAAATTTTTAATCTAAGATATTAGAAGTATTTGTCTACAGAAATTAGATTTCTAAAATAAACATGCTATAAAAGGTTACTACAAAAGTATAGTAAGTGTATGAATTTCCACTTCCGCTTGTATGATTTGACACATGCACTTGATAAAAGTGTCAATCTGTACACAGCACTGTAAAAAAATGCTGTACAGTTAAAGTCAGAATTATTAGCCACAATGTTTATGTTTTCCCCAATTTTGTTTAACGGTGAAAAGAGTTTTTCAAAACATTTCTAAACATAATAAATTAAATAACTTATTTCTAATAACTAATTTATTTTATCTTTGTCATGACGATAGTAAATAATATTTGACTAGATATTTTTCAAGACACTTCTAAACAGCTTAAAGTGACATTTAAAGGCTTAACTAGGTTAATTAGGTGAACTAGGCAGTTTAAGAAAATTATGCAAGTTATTGTATAACGATGGTTTGTTCTGTAGACTATCAAAAAATATATAGCTTAAAATGGTTAATAATTTTGACCCTAAAATGTTTTCTAAGAAACTAAAAACTGCTTTTATTATAGCTGAAACAAAACAAACAAGACTTTCACCAGAAAGAAAAATATTATCAGACATATTGTGAAAATTTCCTTGCTTTATTAAACATCATTTGGGAAATATATATATATAAAAAGGGAGGGGGGGGCACTAATAATTCTGACTTCAACTGTACTGTATATCATCAAGCTTAGACTACTGTAACTCTATTTATGTAAGTGTTGGCCATATATCAAGTGGTCCAAAATGCAGCCACTAGGCTTCTCTTTGGCACCCGCAAGTTTGAACGCATTACTTCTATCCTGTGCTGCCTAAATTGGTTGCTAATACGTTTTAGATTTGAGTTTAAAATTTTAATGTATGTTTTTAAGGTATTAAATGGCCAGGCTCCAACTTATCTCTCTAATCTTAATACTGCTAAAATATCCAGCAAATGTTTAAGGTCATCGAACCAGGAACTGCTAGTAGTTCCTAGATCCAAACTGAAGAAAAAAAGGAGATCAAGCTTTCTCTGTAGTACAGTTGGTCCTAAAATGTGGAATGAGCTACCTACTGTATGTCCATTAGAACAGTTTCCAATGAAACTTAAACTACAACTTCTAGAAAGAGCTTTTAAATTGGGAGAAAATCGGTCCTATTGTACCTACAGTATCTGGTGTCTTATTATTTATCGTTGATGCTGTGTGGTATGTTTTATTTGTTGCTGTCTATTTTTGTAATTTGCTTTTAGGTTTGTTCAGCACAGTGGTCAAAAACTGCTGTTTTATTGTGCTTTATAAATAAATAAACAAACTAAACTGTAAAATGTACAGTATTACTGGCTTTTGCTTGCCAGAAATACTGTAAAATGTACAAGTAAAACTACAGTACTTGTAAATTTTACTCTATTACTGGAAACCAAAATTGCCTATCATACTGTAAATTTTACAGCAATGTTTTTACAGTGGGAGCTTTGTTTTTTGTCACTTGATGTTGCGCAGGCTGTTTTAGCTCACCCCCTTCATCAGATCATAACCTGATGTATATTCATCCCTTACACCTCCCTCTCTCCCCTTTCTTTTTAACTCCCTATATACATTCAGTTTGTCTCTTTTTCTGCCAAAAGCATTAGTGCGTGGCTTTGAGTCCTGGCTCTCCCTCCTGCATCTGCCTGACCGTTATGCTGGTATGGCTGTGATATATGATGGATGAAATTGTAAGCATCTGTCTGCCCAGTTCCCTCATTCCCTCCGCAGTTCAAGTTTCTCTCCATCCGTCTCACGACTCCTCTATCTGTCTCTCTGCTGTCAGGTTTCCATCAGGTCAGGGTTCTCGCCCCCAAAGAGCCATAAGCTATTAGAGCACATAGATCCAGTGTCTCCCTGAGCTCCAGTGGATATGAAATTAATGTTTACGCCAACAAGATGTATAGTATGAACACTGCACTGCAAATTGAAAGGGGTGGAGGAAGGATCCTTTGGCAGAAAGTCGAGAAAAGGAAGGAAGATTGATTAGTGTGCTCACTTAATAGCTATCTAAATGAAATTTATCAGCAGCGTTTTGTTTCTAAGTGTTGAGATGCTTGTGCTTTTTTATGGTCTGTTTCAGAAACTGAAGGAGTTTCTGGAGGGCAGGAACCTCATCACCAAACTGCAGGCTAAACACGATCTGATCCAAAAGACTCTGGGAGAAAGTGAGTAATCTTTCTTGAGTGATGGCTTCATGTGTGTCTGGGGACGCATCAACTGGAAAAACCAATGTTATGAATAAAATATTATGGGTTTGATATTGCAGTTAGGTACAGAATGGTAACTTTAAGTAACATTTTAGATAATATCACATAGGTGACACGGTGGCTCAGTGGTTTGCATTGTCGCCTCAAGAAGGTTGCTGATTTGAGTCCTGGCTGGGTCAGTTGGCTTTTTTGTGTGGAGTTTGCATGTTCTCACCATGTTCGTGTGGGTTTCCTCTGGGTGCTCCGGTTTCCCCACAGTCCAAAGACATGTGGTATAGGTGAACTGAAGAAACTAAATTGGCCTTAATGTATGTGTGTGTGTGTGTGTGTGTATGTGTGGTTTATTCCCCTGTGACAAATATGAATGAATAATACCACATAATACCAAATATTTTTGCATGAATTAGTTTAAAACAAAGTAGAATCAAGCATTTAGATTTTTCTTAGGAGCCGATACATGTACATGATATAAAAGTTCATATTTGGATTTCACAAATTGAAAATTTAATACATATATGCAACATAAAATTCAAAATATTGCAATTTTTTTTCAATTATTGGAATTACAAATATGTACATTTATGTTCAATTATATTAGCTATAATGTTATGTATGTATGTGTTAAGGGTGTCACGATCCTCCAAATCCTCGATTCGATTACATTTTCGATTCTAAAGGCACGATTCGATTCGATTTTCGATTATGAATAATTAATTAACTAATGACCAATTAATTATTTGTAGACTACCGTTTAAACTACCTGACCTGCATGGTCTTTGTTTTACCCATAAACAAATCATACAGTAAATGAATAAAGGCAAGTTACACACATAATTAGCACCTGTCAATCACTTTTTCTGCGGGACTCGTGAATAGGCAGTGATCTGTGTCCTTATAATGGCGTCGGTAAAAAAGACGCACAACCAACAGGAACCAGCCAACAGTATCTGAGGTGTTCGCTAAAATGACTAAGTACAAGTGAGTGAAAGATTGAAGCAGTCCTCTGACTGCCTGGACCTGCTGTCTGGAGCGCATGGCTGTGTGCGTCTGTGTCTGTGTGGTCACGTGATGTGCATTTTCAGATGTAGAGGAAGGAGGGCTGCTTAGAAATGCCACATGCCACTGTGGATGTCAAATCGTTGTCGTTCTAAAATGCCATTTAAAAACAAAGACAGTGTAAACAGGGCCTGAGTGTGTACTTTTCGCGAGCGGATTTGCAACGGGGGCGGGTGGAGGATCGCGATGCCGGTGTTGTCTATCGGACGAACCGTACGTAATACGTACATAGCAGAGCTTGCAAAACTGTGTTTTTTTTGTCAACAACACGAACGTTGTCAACATAACTCACTGGAAATCCAAAATGCTTAAACACCGGCGACTTCATTGAAAGAGGAGAGGGTTTAAGTTCTCTCGACGGGTCTCCTCCTTCGGCAGTTTAACAAGCACTTCAAGCCTGTTTTTTTCCCGCTTGGCAAGCCAAGCTGACATGGGGGCGTGGCAGCATCGACGATTCTATTTTTTGATTCGATAATCAAAATTGAGCATAAATTTCGATCGTGACACCCCTAGTATGTGTATGTGTATATATATATATATATATATATATGTATATATATATATATATATATATATATATATATATATATATATATATATATATATATATATATATATATATATATACGAATAGAATGAATCGAATATATGAATCTCATAGGCAGCCATGTTTTATTCATGAATGATTCAGTGTTTTTGAGCAAATCAGTTGAGTAAATGATTCTGTAAGTGACTCTCATGCTGCGTTTACACCAGATGCAGATATAGCGTCAAGCGCGAGGGATTTACATGTTAAGTCAATGCAAAGACGGGAATAGACATCCTGCACGAATGAGGTGGTGGGAATTGAGTGTTTTGCGCGTTTGATGCGCTTTACGTGCGTATCGCATATTTTGTGTAAATTGCTCGAGTTGGAAAATCTGAACTTTAGGCGTTAACCAATCAGGAGCTTTTTCACGTAGGAGCGTGATTATGACATAGCGACTGTTGTTGGTGTCCTTAGAGTAAATCCTCTTGCCGACACCAGTCAAAAGTTCATTAAAATGGGCTTGGCTCAGTCGGAAGCACCGCTGAAAGCCTCCATCATCCACGTATAGCTTCTGCAGAAATTGATTAACTCAAAGGGCTGGGTGCACCTCTGAAAGGATCTAGTGGATCTAGTGGCAAATGAATATATATATGCTGTTTTTAGCCTTACTAAAGCACATAAACAGCTACTCTCTCAATAAAATCCTTGTTAGCCATTTAGCAACAAAGCTAGAGTCACCAGGCAAACAGAAGCCCTGTCCATCATGTGAATCTGCATCCATTGTGAAGCAAATTGGACGCACGAATGAAGTATACTTAAATTGAGTGTCCTTAAAATGTTCACGCATCTATTTATGCGTGTATGGCGCAATTAATTCACGCAATCTGCATCTGGAATGCACGCAGCATCATAGTCATGCATGTTTATTCTTGAATTAATCAGTGTTTCTGAACAAATCAGTTGAGTAAGGGATTCAAACGACTCTCGTATTGAGCCATGTTTCCTTTTTGAATGAATCAGTGTTTTTGAATAGATCAGTTGAGTGAAAGATTCAAGTGACTCTCATAGGCAGTAATGTTTCCTTCTTGAATTAATCAGTGTTTTTGAACAAATCTTTTGAATAACGAATGACTCACTCATAGAAATGTTAAGTATAACACGTACATTGATTGAAGGATTCAGCTGACTTTCTCATAGACAGTTACGTTTCATTTAAAGGTTTGTAAATAAGTCAGCTGAGAAGTTCATTCTTGAATAAATCAGTGATGTTTAAAAAAATCAGAAGAGTGAATTAGTTCTGTAAATCGGTTGTTTTACAGATAGGGTTTGTGTTAATATGCATATGTGGGATGTCATGGTGTCAGGCAGAGATTGGTACTGAGTCAACCATATGTGTGTGTGTTAGCTTGAGGATGGTACTGATGTCATCAGAGCGTGAAGCTTTAACAGCACAGTGCCGCTCTGTACCGCTGTCCTCATGGGCCTTAGCATGATCTTATCCACTCACTCATTGGCAGGCCTGTATGGTGGAGGTTAAAGGTCATGTTCCAAACTACAAGACAGAGAAAAACGAGTCTGTGTGAGAGAGAGAGAAGTGCACTGCAGTGTTGTTTCACTCTGATGTTCCTCCCACGTACGTTCCTCCAGACTAGAAGCGAACTGTCAGCCAGTCAGATTGGGCTGTCAGCGAACAGGAAGTGAAGCTAAGAGAATCAGACTGATAGCGAAGAGATAATGATGTGAGATGTAGAGAGTAATGGTGTTGATTACTATGTTGACGAATAACCAGCACCCACTAAAGTAGTGCAGTCAGAAAGATGATCTATGCATTTTAAGATAAACAAGGAATTTTTGTACATTGTAGCTTTCACCTCTGTTTTAGATATTTTTAGGAAAAATAAACTCCTGTACTATAGCCATTCGACATTACACTACCTGACTCTTATCATCGATCCAGAAAAATATTAATAATTCCAAAAAATAATAACTTTATTTCTAGTTGATGATTTGGAAAAGTGGCAGAAGGTAGATTTTTACAGATGAATCATCTGTTGAACTGCATCCCAATCATCACAAATATTGCAGACCTATTGGAACCTGCATGGACTCAATATTCTCAGAGAAATCAGTCAAGTTTGGTGAAGATAAAATCATGGTTTGGGGTTACGTCAAAATCCATTTAGGGTAAGTCATTTCACTTGGTGGCAATTTTTGAAACACCTCTCAGGCAGTATGCTCGGGCATTCTGTCTGAATGGGGAAACATCAAATTCCACATAACTGCTTGCCAAGTTTATGATTATATTTTATATTACAAATAATCAATAAAATTAAACAACAACTGTCTATTTAGTTTCATTTTTAAATGTTCATATCACACAAAATCTGCAGAAACTCAAATCCCTACTCAAGAGATTGTCATTGTATAGCAATCGCTGATTGGCTCCTGTACTAGAAGGCGGGCTTTATTCGCCATATAGCGATCACTGATTGGCTCCTGTACTAGAAGGCGGGCTTTATTTGCCATATAGTGTTCGCTGATTGGCTCCTGTTATAGAAGGCGGGCTTTATTTGCCATATAGCGATCGCTGATTGGCTCCTGTACTATAAGGCAGGCTTTATTCGCCATATAGCGTTCGCTGATTGGCTCCTGTACTAGAAGGCAGGCTTCATTCGCCATATAACGATCGCTGATTGACTCCTGTACTAGAACGCGGGGTAGGGCCGGGTCTTGTGTATTCTTTAGTCTTTAATTACATTCAGTTTGGGGGCGTGTGAGAGATGGCAACATCAACAGCCTGAGGTTTCAAGATATTTGTGTTGCCCATTACATTACAAACCACAGGAGAGGGCAAATTCTTCAGCAGGATAGCGCTTCTTTTCATTTTCTGCCTCCACACCAAAGTTTCTGAAAGCAAAGAAGGTCAAGGTGCTCCAGGTTTGGCCAGCTCACTCATCAGACATAAACATTATTGAGTATGTCTGGAGTAAAATGAAGGAAGAGGCATTGAAGATGAATCCATAGAATCATAGGAGTCCTGCAAGACTGCTTTCTTTGCCATTCCAGATGACTTTACTAGTAAGTTATCTGAGTAATTGTAAAGATGTATGGATGTAGTCATCTAAGCTCATGGGAGTCACACACAATATTAGTTATTTTTCCACTGCACCATGACTTTATATGCTATACTGTACCTTATTTCTGTTAAGTGACAATACTTTTGACTAAGCAAAGTCAATAATTCAGAATAATTAAATAAATTATTTAAATTAAATTATTAAATAAATAACTAATAAGGTAAATAATTCAAAATCAAGGCATGATCATATTTTATATTGGTAAAATAAGCGTAATCTAGAGGCCTTTGCCTCATATAAGCGACTTCTGATACCAAATGATCTACTAGAAGTCCACTTATTATTTGTTTTTCCTAAAACTTGAATAGGCAGCAAGACTTTTGTCAGGTAGCGTATTTAGATTTTGATTGAATGGCATAATCATTGATTGAATTAGAATCACTCCAGTTATCCAATGTCAAAAACAGATTCTGCGCTGTGAAGTGCTGCAGGAACAGTACAGTGTGTAACTGCTGTCATGGAGTAAAATGACAGAATGTTCCAGCACAAACTGAGGGAAGGAAAGTGGTTAGGATGATTAGCTCACTGAAGTCTGTTGCACGTTTGGCATTTTTCTAAGTGAAGCCGTGTGTGATGGGAAAAAACGACACGCTGTGATGTCACTGAATGTGTTTAGAGGGGAACATGCGGATACAGGGTCGCGTCCCACAGGAAAGTCCTCCGTGACAGCAAAGACAACAAGCGGGATGAGGCTTTTATTCCCAAAGGAAACCACATCCAGCTGTGGCCTCTTCCTCGCACATCCAGCTTCCCTCTAATTGTTTTCCTCTCTTTATTTTTTTTTTCCAGGTCAGAAGACGGACTACTGCCTTGCCAGGTGAGTGCAGTGTTGGGAAAGTCAACAAATCCAAACAAGATGTATACGGTTTACGCACAAGAACTAATTTAGCACACATGCAGATGTTTGGGAGCCATTTATAGATGAATATCTTGTCTAGACATATTCATCTTTTATGCACATCTGCTGATTTATTTATTGAGGCCAGGAAAAGGTGATTTACTTTCCATTTACAATGAGGTCCGGAAATTGGGACGGACTTTTAAACAAGAGTTCACAGAAGAGACACAAAACAAGTACTTTCACAACAAATACTAGTGAAAGCCTGAATGTGTGTGTGTGTGTGTGTGTGTGTGTGTGTGTGTGTGTGTGTGTGTGTGTGTGTGTGTGTGTGTGTGTGTGTGTGTGTGTGTGTGTGTGTGTGTGTGTGTGTGTGTGTTTAAGGCCAGTGGATTAAAATAGGAACCTTTTCAGGAGGCTAATTTCCACTGGGCTAATGGCCACAGGCAGTTTGTGAAGTGAATGTGGAGGAAAATGAGAGCAGTTTTGAGGGAAAATGATCCATTATAATGACGGCACTTTCTCTCCCCCCTTTTCGCTCTCCCTCTCTCTTTTTCTGATTCTCATGTCCATCAGCGGACGGAGGGACTCCACTGTGCGGAAACAGGTAATTATCACTGCTCGCTAGCAGAATTGATTTACTGTTGCATTGCAAGACTTTTTCAGTTTAAATTAATATTTTTTTTCTCTTTTTTTTTGGATTAATTATTGATTTGTGTCATGTATATATATATATATATATATATATGGTACAAAAAAAACCTTTGATAACTTTAAAGATGTTTTTAAAAATCTGACTAAACTTTTGTAACAGTTAAGCTTTTTATAGGATTATGGATTATTTTTTAACTAATTGTATTTGATTTTATTTATATTTTCAATTTAGTTAAAATTTTATTTGTCAGATTTTTACTTTAATAAGTTTTTTATTATTTGCTTTATGTATTTTTATTAGATTTTTATATGATATGATAGATTTTGATATGTACAGAGAACATGCTGGTATCCCTTTTTTCAACTCAGATAATTATTATTAGTCAACAAATCTTATTAATCCTTTCATAAATTATATTTGCAGATAATATTTTTCATTAAGACAAAAATTCCTGTTCAGTGCATGTCTTATTTAATAAATGCAGCTGTAAAATAACTGTGCATGTCGCAGCAGGATAAATTTAGGATTTAAAATCAGGCCAGTGAGATAAATTTAGCATGCATTTATCCCACCACCTGAACCCTACAGTACAGGTGAACAAACAAAAGAAATCACTGCAACCCTTCATTTGTCCTTTTAATGTTCATGACGCCCTCTAGTGAGCAATATTCATATACAATGCTTTCCACAAATGATGACAAGCTTGATAAATATGAGCCAAAAAGCCAGTGGAAAACAAAAAACACTTGATTTTCTGCAATAATTTTTTTTTTTAAACAAAAACTGAAGAATTTGATTTTGGACAAGAGTAGATGAGTAGATTCTTAAAAAAAAAAAAAAATAAATAAATAAAAAAAAAATAAAATAAATATATATATATATATATATATATATATATATATATATATATATATATATATATATATATATATATATATATATATATATATATATATATATATATATATATATATGTGAAACAAATTATGCCAAACCTATTATTTTTGACTAAACTATACTTATTCTCGCTTGCTTGTTCTTAATGAAAGTAGATATTTTTATTGATATTTTAAGCTAAAAGATCAAAGTTTAAATGTTAAATGTGTAACTTTTTTTTTCAGTTGTCCAATATTTTTAGAGGGCACAGCATGAACAATATTCAAAAGTCAAATGGATGGAGAAGCATGAGATTTACTGAAAGTAAAAATGTTTTGTACTTATGTGAGCATGTTTAAGAGCGTGACCTCCGGGCAGTGAAGTTCAGGCCAGACGTGGCTCGCATACAGCTCCACTTTTCCCAAATAAACAAAAAGAAACTCTGGTAAAACGTTGTCTCCTAGCAACCGTTGCCCCATTCCCTCATGGCACAGCACAAACTGGGGTGCTTATTTTTTCATCCCACCCGATGCAAATATAATTGTTATGATCCCCTTGTTCTGAAAGGTGCCCTGTGCTGCAGAATGTCCACCATCTGAACAGACATGTGTATTTTCTTCTTATTTTTTTTCACTGTTCCTTCTTTTAGGAGGCCATCCAAATCATTCCCCTGATGGTGGAGAGTTGTATTCGCTTCATCAGTCGACACGGTGAGCTCTCCTTCTCTCACTCACTTCTTGCCAAAAGCACTATTGCTGTGTCGCTCTCTAGACTTTCCCTGATGAAATGAACAAAGTGTTCTGTTCCGCTTCATTTATTTTTCTATCATACAGTATATAGCTCTTACAATCCTTCAGCACTAGCCAATATGTTTTCTTTTTCCTTTTGAATTCTGAGAATTCCACCTAAAAACAAATAATGGTTGCTGACACAAAGTCATTTTTAGGCTCGGTAAAGGTAATGGAAAATGTACTAATGTCAAATGTTTTTCCTGATTGTGCTTTAATTCAAATACTTTATTAATTTATTACTTGAGAAAAACTAAATGACTAATTTTATTTAATGCTTATTTTTAAAATATGCTTTTTCAGAATGTTCTTATTGAGTAATTGTAAATAAAGGGGGCCAGCATGGTGGTTCAGTGGTAGCACTGTCGTCTCACAGCAAGAAGGTCGCTGGTTCAATCCCAGCTGGACCAGTTGGCATTTCTTTGTGGAGTTCGCATGTTCTCCTCTTTTTTGTGTGGGTTTGCTTCGGGTCCCTCACAGACCAAAGACATGTGGTATGAGTGAATTGAATGAGCTAAATTGCTGTATGCATGTGAATGCGAGGGTGTATTTTTCCCAGTACTGGGTTGCAGCTGGAAAGACATCCGCTGTGTTAAACATATGCTGGATAAGTTGGTGGTTCATTTCTCTGTGGTGACCCCTGATGAATAAAGGCAGTAAGTTGAAGGAAAATTAATAAATGACAGGACAAATCATAAAGTCATTAATATTTGTCAAATATTTATATATGTATTAGTCCATTCTCTCACATTTTGAGGATTCTAGGGAACTATTTTTTTATATTGTTAATATATGAATTAATTTATGATTTATTATTATTATAAAAATGTTTGTAAAAAAATGTTAAGAATTAGTGAAGATTAAAGATTGATGGATGTTTTTTTTTTAAATGTTCTCAGAATATACAGCTCTTGAAAAAAAGAAGAAGACGCTGCTTTTCAGGATTCCTGATTTATAGTTTTGTATCAGAGTAAACCAGAATGATTTTTTTTTAATTCTGTAAACTATGGATGACATTTCTTAGCATTTTAAATTAAAATGTTGTTATTAACAGCATTAATTATTTTATTTTTATTTTTGGGGGGCATAAAATAGTGAAAAGAGGACAACATAATACTAATTTTTATTAACCCTTTAGAGCAGTCATTGAATCAGTTGGAAAAAAATCATTGGAGTGGTACTGGGGGTTATTACAAGACTTTATGATGCAAAAAATACAATCAATGTCAATACAGTTACCATAAACAGTTCTTCACCTGATTAGGGGTTTAAAACATTTGTAATTGAGACTATTTTCTGACTAAACAATTTAAAATGTCAATATTTTATTTGAAATTTGTACTTTTATACAATCAAACAAAAATAGTTGTTTTGATTGTACAGAAATCCATATAAATCTATTTAACCCAAAGAAACTAATATTGGGGTTAAACTATATTTATTAAGCTGGTATTGACATCACAATCTGCTATAATAAACTCTAAACTATAAGTCTGATGTGTGTTCATAACATCACATCTGTGTGCCTGTTCAGGTCTCCATCATGAGGGGATTTTCAGGGTGTCTGGCTCCCAGGTGGAGGTCAATGACATTAAAAACGCCTTTGAAAGAGGTGAGTCTGTCTGAAGCGACACACGCTGAGCCAGCGTTTGACCATTTCACATCAGGCCTGCATTATTAAAGGCTTGCTGTGTCTCAGGTGAGGATCCGCTGGCTGGAGATCAGAATGATCACGATATGGACTCCATCGCTGGAGTGCTGAAGCTCTACTTCAGAGGCCTGGAAAACGCCCTGTTTCCTAAGGAAGTCTTCCATGACCTCATGTCCTGTGTCTGTGAGTGTTCGCTTTATTTCCTACACCCACAGTACACGTGTGTATTGCAGACTAGATTAGACAATGGAGGAGCTTTTGAACTCATTACTTGTTGTTTTTTTCCAGCCATTGAGAGCCTCCAGGAAAGAGCTGTGCACATCCGAAAAGTCCTGCTGTCGCTGCCCAGCAACATCCTGGTTATCATGAGATACCTGTTTGCTTTTCTCAATCAGTGAGTTCTGTTGGTTAGATTTTTACCAAGTTTGTTCCTTTGTCTGGGATTTTAACTAAAGTTGAGGGCTGTGAAGTCATTTGGTCCACCGGATGTCAGTCAAAGCAAGGTTCTTGTGTCAGAGGAACACAAAAGTAGATGTTTCACAGAATGTGTCAGGTGCCCTTTTCCATAAAATGAAAATTAATTGGGCTGAATTAAGCTTAATAATATTAATTTAAGTACATGTGGTGCGTTTGACTTGTTCTATATTCTATATTATTGAGTAGTTTGTTTAACATATAATTCATTCATTCATTCATTCTTTCATTTTCGGAATGAACCACAAACTTATCTAGCATATGTTTTACGCAGCTGTAACCCATCACTGGGAAATACCCATACACACTCATTCACACACATACTCTACGGACAAATCACCTATACCACATGTCTTTGGACTTGTGGGGAAAACATGCAAACTCCACACAGGAATGCCAACTGACACAGCCGGGGCTCCTTGGTTGCTACTCACTGCACCACCGTGCTGCCCACATGTAATTCAATATTTGTTCAAAATGTAACCTGTAGCACCCAAATCTGATCGCAATTGCATTTGCGTTTGGTTCAGATATGACACTGAGACATGTTTGGCATTAGGGATGTGCAAAAGATCCCGAATTCTAGCTTAAAATAAAGTTTTTGAGTCCAAAATAAACCATTTGAATAGTTTATGTAGATTTGATAATTTTTTTAAATAGTTAGTCTTAAATAATAATAATTATAAATAATAATAATAATTATTATTATTATTATTATTATTGTTGTTGTTGTTGTTTTTGTTGTTGTTGTTATTATTAAATAATAATTATTATTTAAATAATTTAATATTTATTCTGCAGGGTCTTAAAAAGTCTTAAATGTCTTCAATTTCAAAAACTAAGTTTAGAGGCCTTAAAAAATCTAAAATCCACTGATAAATAGTGCTGTAGGTCTTGAAACATTTTAAAAGGTCTTTATTTTCTGATGTCCAAGTAAAGCTACCATATCGGGCTGACACCCAATCACTAATAATCGATCTTTAAACTTTTTGTTTATATATAAGTTTTTTATTGCAAAGAGATACAATTCACAACAGCTTTTAGACATTTTCTAGCAAATTGTCCTAACTAAAAAACCTAATCCGGGAAAAATACAAAAGAAACACTGTCCCTTTACATCCCTTTACATGATCTTTCATAAATACAAAAACTATTTACAGAAGTACCCAGCCTAGTAGAAAAAATCCTCGGGAAGTCCTAGCGTTAAGCACTGTATACGTCTAACTATGAATATGTCATTCATATTGGTCTTGAAAGAGTCTTAAATAGGTTTAAATTTCACTTGAAGAAACCTGCAGAAACGCTGCATAAGCTTTGTTAGAACTTGAATAAATACATACTTATATATTTTTATTTTGCAGTACAAGAATATTATAGCACTGAATGTTAGAATTTAATATAAGAATATATTTTATTTAATAATCAAATAAAATAAAACGTATAGTAATGATGTCTAGTTTTTTATCTAAATCTCCTAAAACTAACCGTGCTTTTCAACACATTTATTCCACATTTTAAACCTGATATTTTCACCTTTCCTACCCCTGAATAGTTTGTGCCCCTGAAGATATGACATTTTTAGTGAATGAAAAATAAAATAAAAAGAAAGTTAGTGGTTTGGAACCACATGAGGCCAAGCAAATGATGACAGAATCATTTGGGTGAATGTTTTCCCCCTTTAAACCCTTGCCATTTTCCAGTGATTTACGGCAGCTAACCTTACCCCAGCATACAAAGAGCTTATATACAATCTAAACTTACCATTTTACAAGACCTTTTTACTACAGATTTAAATATTCTCTTCTAAAAAAAAAAGAGAGGATTGGACAGTACCCAGCTACTCCAGCTGAGGACTGCAGCTCTCAAGCCTACTTGGAAAGTGTCCCTCCATATCTCTGCCTCCTTATTTCCACCCTGTGGTTCTTTTGAAAGACCCTCCAGACCACAACACCATCTTAGCTTCTGCTCCAGGCCGCTGTGGTACGTTCTGGTTTGTCGAAAGCATCTGAACCCTTTCCAGGCCTCGTATCACAGCCAGAAGGGGGAAGTGAGTTTGCGTAGAGGTATAGTGTCGCCATAAACCTCCATAATGCTCCCATGCGTGATGTCTGTAGGCCTCTGTGAATGGCTCCTCTGTTTGCACTACTGCCGATAGATCTTTCCTCTGCTATAAAAGTCAATGGAGGTGCCAGAATGGTTCTCTAAAGAACTGCTGCTTTTTTTTAATTCACTCTCTAATTTGTGTGCATTGTCTGTAGGGATGTATAGTGTACTCTCACAAATGCACATTAAGAGAAATAGAGAGGTGGGCAATTGGAGAGACGTGTGCAGTTGGAACTGTCTGAGAAAAGGACAGTGCTCGTAAATTTGGCTGGAGCCTCTCCATTTGGACGTTTATGTGCGGCCCATACCATGACAGACATTTGCTTTTTGCATCTGTCGCTCATGCAAGCCTGGATGGTCTCTTTGGTTTGGTCAAATTTCTATAGCACTTAATACAGTTCTATTTGTTTCAAAGTAGTTACACAAAGAAAATAGGCAATAATGGAAAATCAGGTTTAAAGTTGAATCAAGTGTGAATCAAGTTCAGTTCATACTGTAAGTCACATTCAGTTTCACAGATATTTGGTTTTGTTTGAATTAGTTCATGTTTATTCAGTTCAAATCAATTTGAATGTCATTGCTGATTATTTATTGAAGTATTCAGGACTCCTTTTATGGGTTTTGCCTGTTTGTTTACAAAACAACTGCATTTTTGGGACTGACAACAAACAAATCTGAAAAACGGTCACAAAGGGAAAGTTTGGATTGTACTGTAATTGTCATGTCAGTGTAAACACCTGAAAATGAGAGTCTATAAAAATGATGATGTCGTGTGTGCATGTATGTGTTTAGGGAGGTGTAGATTAAAGGTAAGCGCAAACAAAACTGCACAATAATGGGGGTTGGGTTGCTGTTGCTCAAGTGTTTCCTAACACTTCATCAGCAAAGAGTAGATTACTTAACTTTAAATTTATCAGGGTATCTGTGGGGTCTTTAAAATGGTAAACTGTGTTAAATTTCAAAAACAAAATTTTAGGCCTTCAAAAGTCTTAAATTCACAGAAAAATTGTGTTGTAGGCCTTAAATAATTTTTTAACAGGTATTCATTTTCTTGTGTCTATGTAAAGCTACCTAATCGTGCCAACACCCGTTCAATCACTAACATTCAATGAAAAAATGTAAGTAAAGATTATTTATTAAGTCTATTTACCAAAATGGTTTGATTATCTTTCTTACAATTAATTTCTTTTGATATGCACCATTGCCGAGCCGCCGACAGCATGTGTGCACTTTCTTATAGGTTTACTAACAAATCGACAACGCCGAATTCTGGCCTGGCATATATAATACGGCATTCTTGTGTCATTTTTCTGCAGATGTATAAATGCTGCTCGTTTTTAAAACATCATGTTAAAGTTTCTGGCTGCATCATTGTCATGTAAATGTAGCCAACCTCCAGTAAAGCTGAAACATGGACTCATCTGACCCCAGCACACATTTCCACAGTCTTTTTACTGTGTGAGATCTGCCATTACTGAACTGTACTGCTGTATACTTTAAGTATCAAAGATTCAGGTCGCATTTCTTGATGATTGTGTTAAATGGAAGCTGCGCTTCAATGTTCGGCTCTATTTACCACCATGCATATGCATTTTTTTAAGCTATGGCATCTGAGTGCTCATGCACATTTAGCTGAAGACTTCTTTTTAATTTGTCTGCATTTACTGTATGCTTGGCGTACATTCACATATGTATACACATCAGGAGACCTCATTTACAGAATGAGGTGGGCATTAGACAGAGAGGTGGGCAATTGAAGAACTTCATGCAGTTGTAATTGTCTGGGAAGGACAGTGCTCGTAAATTTGCCTTAGAGCCTCTCCAAGTGCACGTTTATGTGTTTTTTATTCCAACACACATGCAAATAAGGATACATGTGACCACTATTTGGAGTTTTCAGTGATAAACATTGTGGGCGCCTTGCAGAGTAAGAAAGGGAACAATTAAGAAGGTGTAAGAATTCAGAAGAGTCTCACAGACACACTTAAATGAGAGAAGGATGGCTTGTGGCCATGATGAATGAGCTGTTGTGAGGAAGTGTAAAAAAAAACTCAGGCTGTTTTTCACATTAGTCCAGCAGGAGCTGCTCCTTCCATGAGAATAGGCAAATTATTAGAATGACTATTTTGTTTCATGTTTTTGGTGTTTGGTGCACCTCAAATATGATCAGTTCTTAAATGTTTGTCCATTCATATGTTGATTGATTGATTGATTGATTGATTGATTGATTGATTGATTGACTGAATAATTATTAATTTTCATAATATACATTAATTATTTACCTTCATTAGGAAACATCATTAAATGCAGTTAATGTGTAACCCAGGTTTAGGTTTAGTGGACATTAACCTACACCAGAAAACTGTAAACATGCAAATGTTTTGCTAGCAGTGTTTGGGTAACTAATTACTGGGCCCACATAGAATCTGCACGTTCAGGAATCCACAAATTTTTAGCCCCTCATTAAGTACATTTAATTACTTGTGTAAATGTGTGTAAATTCATATTTATTCCGTTTTTACATAAATTTCAGTAATATTATTGACTAATATGAAAATGTCCATATGATTTATTTACAATACAGTTTGTAAAGTCATATTTTCTGTCTTTTAGTAAATAAATTATATGAAAGACTTGCTTTGTTTACCAAATAAGTTGATCTAATTGGATTTGCATTGTAAACATGAATTAAAAGTTTGAATGGTAATATTTTTATTATAAATAATAAGTTTTTGTTCATGATACTCCCAAAATCGTTCCAGATAAGTCTGTAGATTTTGTACAAAATTCTGAGCAGAAATATCTAAAAATGTCCGCAGATTCTGTCTGGCCGTGCTAATTACTAATTGTATCATTGAATTTGTATTTAAATGACGTTTATAATTACTAATTGTCTAATAATAAGTAATTTGATTACATGACTAATTACTACATAAAATCCCTATAAATCTCAATGCATATAGACAAGTCAAACAAAATGATATATATTTATCTATTCATTCATTCATTCATTCGTTTTCTTTTCAGCTTAGTCACTACATACACTACGGCCAATTTAGCTTATTCAACCTATAGCGCTTGTCTTTGGGGGACAAACTTATATTTTGCAATCTATCTGTATAACAAAATAATACAATTACTTATCTGAACCGATTTATACATAGCTATTAAATGTTTTTTAGGCAAATATAAGTAAAGTTAATTAAATTACGTACTGAAATTACTTTTTGCTTTTATACCAAAATTTACAGTAACCAGTTACATTATACAGGGTTCATACGGTCATGGAGAACCTGGAAAAGTCATTGAATTTTGACATGGCATTTTCCAGGCCTGAAAAAGTTTTAGAAAAAACAGAAAAACCCACAAAGCTTTGGAAAAGTCATGGAAATTAATTTAACAAATATCTGTAAAATTGAATATAGGTCAGTTGTCTTCACTTCTTTTCTGTTCTTAACCAAAAACATGGTCTCACATTATGAATACTGTAAGCATACATTCATTCATTTTCCTTCGGCTTAGTCTCAATTTCAGAGGTGGCACAGCGGGAAAGAATCTTACATACAATAGATATAAAAAAGGTATTCAAACTAAATAGATTGTTGTGTGTTTTATGAAAAATGTTTTTAAATGTGCATTGTTTTTATTATTATTCTCCATGTATACATAGACATTACATTAAACATTAGGTCATGAAATTTACTTGTGTGTCCTGGAAAAGTCATGGAAAAATCATGGAATTTTTGTCTTAAAAATGAGTATGAACCCCGATTATATCTTATTACACCCAAAACTGCTTACTAGTAGTAATATAATATTAACTAAAATTGAATTAGTCAAAGGTGGCTTACAAATTATGTTGCTAATCAAGTGCAAAGTTTTTAATAAAAATGTTGATTGCCATACATTCCTTTTTTTTTTTTTTTTACCTCTAAAGGCCCATGGTGTTTTTTACAAGCATTTTTTATTTATCTTTGCTATTTGGGCTTATTGAAACCTAATTATTAAGACCTAAGTATCATCTTTTGATATGATGTATTTTTAGAGGAAAATTATGCCCATATATGTGGACTCGTAGTCCCAATTTACATAAAACACTTTTTTCCTTTCTTGTTTTGTAATGCATATTTCACATAGAAAAAATGTTTTAATGTGTTTTGACTATCAGAGTAAAAACTTTTTTTCCCTATTTTGGACAGTTAAAAATAGTGTTTGGGACATTTCATATGCTGCAAAACAGTTGCAGGATGACACTGTATGTCTGTAACAAAATATAAAACATTTAAAGTATTTTAAATAGTCACTCAAGAGCTAAAATGTGCTGTCCACGCATGTGGCCACTAAACCCTAAGAGGTTAAATCTAAGAGTCTGCAGTTAATGCACATCTTGTTCGTTTCATTTCAAATCCATTGTGTTAACAAAATGTTAACAAAATATTCTTTCTTTCTTTTTTTATTAGTCTGTCTCAGTACAGTGACGACAACATGATGGACCCCTACAACCTGGCTATCTGCTTCGGCCCCACACTCATGTCTGTTCCTGAGGGCCACGATCAAGTCTCCTGCCAGGCACATGTGAACGAGCTCATCAAAACCATTATTATCCACCACGAGAGCATCTTTCCAGGGCCCCGTGAGCTGGAGGGCCCCGTCTACGACCGTGGAGGAGCCCCTGAGGAATACTGGTGAGTCTAGACTCCTTGTGAGGGAATTCAAAAACACACACACACACAAAATAAAGGAGAAAAGCATGAAAACGAGGCACATAATCTTGGCAGAATTCATTGGCAGTGAATTTTGGCCCCACGTTTTATTGAAGCAGCTGCTCAGCCCAACCACAAAACCAGAAATGAGTTGATCAGACAGGCTTGATTTAATGCACAACCGGTCAGACGTGATGAATTGAGCTTTATAAAGATAAAGAGACATTATAAAGAGCAACAGAGCCCTACTGGGAGTAGGTTGCTTTTTAAAGTTTACTTCCTACATATATTATGCTCATTCAAGCCGTCAGTTCAAGGGTTGAAGACACAGATCCGTTTCTGACTCTCAGCATGTGTCAGCACACAAAGTAGTCTCCCAAAAGAACACCAGACTCGTAAAACATCATCATGAGCAGTCCGTTTTCGATTAAAGCCAAGGTTATCCTCCAAGCTTAAGGCTAAGTGCTAATGAAATGCCCTCCTGGAGCTTTTTAATAAATGCTTTGGATGTTGAAGAGGAAGTGACTTTAGATTGCTGTCACCGTGAAAAGAAAGCAACGTGTCTGGATGTGAGATGCAGGCTTAGAGACGTGGCTCATTTCTTGTGGTTTTGATTCACAGGATTGTTTGGATTGCATGGGTGGTGTAATTAAGACTTTGAGCTGCTGAGATGATGTGTTTTTAGCTTTTAGGGTTTAGTAAGAATCTCCTTTTGCTTTCCTGAGGCTTTGAGTCACGTCAAGTCAAGACACATTTACATTATACTGTATATGTGCATGTGTCTATATAAATATTACAATTATTTTATTCTTTTTTAAAGTATTTCACAAGTGTTGTTTAACAGAAAGAAGATTTTTTCAATACATTTTTAAACATAATTATTTTTAATAACTAATTTTGAATATGCATTTGTATTTTTCGTAGTTACAATAAATAATATTTTACTAGTTACTTTGCAAGATACAAGTGAAGAGTTCTGATGCAAAAATCTCTAAATGCCATCTGAAATGTCCTCCTTAAATGATCATTTTTGTCAGCCTCCTATGTTTATGTTCAGTTGTTTCACTCTAAAGGCAATGTAAATAACTTATTCGTCACTATAAAAGTAAAATGGGTTGACGCGGTGGCGCAGTAGGTAGTGCTGTTGTCTCACAGCAAGAAGGTTGCTGTTCCGCTGCATAAAACATGTGCTGTATAAGTTGGCGTTTCACTCCGCTGTGGCGACCCCAGATTAATAAAGGGACTAAACCGAAAAGAAAATGAATGTATAAATGAATGAATAAAAGTAAAATGACTGAGCCTACACACAAAAGCCGGAGAAAAATGCTAATTTTAGAAAGTTTTTTAGAAATATCAGATGGCTTTTAGAGGTTTTTGCATCTAAACTCTTCAAGTATTCAGCTTAAAGTGTAATATAAGGGCTATACGAGGTTAATTAGGCAGGTCATTAGACAACAGTGGGTTGTTTTGTAGCCAATTGGAAAAAAACAAACATATACATACATATATTTTTCCTTATTCCAGCCAAACAAAAAAATAAGACTATATATATATATATATATATATATATATATATATATATATATATATATATATATATATATATATATATATATATATTATATTATATTATATTATATTAGGGCTGCACGATATTGGAAAATTATGACAATGTGATATTTTGTTTTACTGTGATATATTTTGTGAAATGAAAACTCACCAGATCGATTTGGAAAGTATTCATTGATTTCTTAATGAATAACTCATAAAATGTTATAAATTAAAAATAAAAGTGGTCCCTTGCTATTACGCGGTTCATTTTTTGCAGCCTAGCAGTTCCGCAGATTTCTTTCATGCGTTTTGACATGTTTTTTTTTCTACAGCACATTGTGTTCTGCGTCCTGATTTGCTATAGACCATTGTCAGTCAATCTCCTCCATGCCACATCTCCTGCACAGTACAGAATGTGTTTAGCTTGCCAAATTGACATAAATCTCTGATCGTTAACAGTGCAATACTGTATGTTTGCAAGTTATCTCCCCACAATGTCGACGGAAAAATCTGCTCCCAAAAGGCAGAGAAAGATGCTAACCATCGCACAAAAGCTATGAACTTCTGGACATGCTGAAGGAAGGTAGAAGTTGTGCAGGATTATGGCACCATTACGGAATAAATAAATGAAGATCAAATAGTTTTGATTTTTAGACTCATTCTATAATACTGGACTTATTTTTCTACAAAGGTTTGAACTTTGAGAGTGTTTAAATGAGAGAAAAGTGTAAAAGTGTTAATGCATGTCTGAGAAAAGTGTATAAAGTGTGTATTGACGGGTTTTACAGCCTTAAGACAGCTATAATAGTTGTAAAAATAAAGCTGACTACTTTGCGGATTTCCCCTATTACTATATATATATATATATATATATATATATATATATATATATATATATATATAAAATGTCTTACATTTCAAAAACTAAATTTTAGCCTTTAAAAAGTGTTCACTGAATTCACTGAAATATTGTCTTGTAGGTCTTAAATCATTTTGAACAAGTCTTACTTTTCATCTGTCAGTGTTTCCAATTACCAACAATACATTTTAAAAAACCTTCATCAAAACTCTATATACTATTTTTTTAAAGAAAAGTTGTTTAAAAAGTGTGTATATACAACTAGGGTTTGCTTGTTTTGACACATTATTTAAGATATAAGGCAAAAAAATAAGTAATTAGATTTTAATTTTTTTGGATGAGGCAAGCAAACCTCTTTTCCACATGACCAACCAGGTTGGTCGTGTTCAGCCCTGTATAAGTCTGAAATTTTATTATAATGTTTTTAAAAAGGTCTTTAAAAGTCTTAAATTTCACTTTGTGAAATCTGCAGAAACCCTGATATAAACTTTTCTCTCTTTTTTATTCAGAAAAAAATAATGTCATTTCAGCATTTGAAGGACTTTTAGTTGTGGCTAGCAAATGACTAGTATTACATGCTAGGAGTAAATAAATATAAACCCTTTATAATTAATATTAATTAAAATTAATATTTTATAATTAATTATAATTAAAAATAAATATAAACCCTTTAAATTGTGAAAAACACAATACTTAGTGAAAGATAACAGCATGATTATACCATGTAACGTCACCTATGTTTTTAAGTAAAGTTCACTTTTGTACAGTAAGATTGTGTATAAAAGTTGTCAAATGAGTGTAGAAGACATGTTGCTTAAAGGTCCATGAAACCCCCTCGTTTCAGCAGGTGTTTTCACACCTCTACTTTGGAAAAAGTAAAAAAAGTGGGCCTGTCCAGCTCTGTTTAGGGGGGAGTGTCAGAGGAACTAAAGTGGGAGGGTGTGGGAGTGTCTATTTGGGCACGCGCGAGTTTCAGAGTCAAAATAAACACACAGGAAAAAGTGATGGTGTTTAACCTACATCAACATCTGTAGTCGAATTATTTGCCAAATTATTAAATGTTGGACTTTAACAGCAGTTTGGCTCTTTCATTCAGGGAATTTATTCATGCCCCTCGCGACAAACGAGATATTTGATTCGAGGATCTGCTCTAAGCGTGTATTTTTCACGCAATGTTTGATACCGCACGGCAAATGAGAGAAAAAAAACCTCCACATTTCCCGGAAACTTAGATGCACACGGCAGGTAGTGTCAGAAAGCCGCGTGTGTTATTCCGGTCACAAAATGCGGTAAAAACCCTACAAGAGGTTAAAGTTTGGTTGTGGTGCTAACATGTTTGTACTCGTGCAATAGTTAACTTTTTTCGATATGAACAAACTGAATAAACAAAGAGCACTGGTCGCTCACTTACCAAATCTGTAGAGACAGGACAATCACCAGCAACTAGAGCTGCGTCTTTATTAAGAGGAGACTACAAGCGAATCCGGATCTCAGCGTTTGCAGATGAGAACAGCTCTCAGGTAAACAATAATCCTCCTTAGACACGTAAGTTATTGTTGTCTAGCGTCGCGTACACTGTTAATCCACACGTGACGCCAGCTGAGCTCTCACAGAGAGAAAATGAAAACAAAACTTAATGGCAGCAAACAATAAAAGCAACACTTCACGCTTGTTTTGCCAACACAACGTGGCGTCTCTGTCGTGTAAACACGGTGACAATAATGAATATTAATGAAGTTGCACAATAGAGCGCGCTGATTGGTTTGAACCAAGCTTTACTCATGCATTAATGCATCTCACTGTAAGACGTAATAAGACACACTCTGGCTCAGGCGTCCAGTCTGCACGCTGGAATACACGCTATTATGTCACGACCGTGACGCAGCTTCAAAAATTTGTTTCAAACCGTAAGTACGAATTTACTTGAAATAACGCAAAAACAACCAATTTACACTTTTTAGTGAAATATAGGTGTCCTAATAGTGTTTTTAGCAGTGTGGGACACATATACGACTGTCAACAGCTCAAAAAATGTGTTTTGGTGTTTCGTGACCCTTTAAATCAGAGCCATCCAGAGTCTCTGGGCAAAACATAATGAGTGAGCTCAGCTTCTGACTTCACTGAACAGCACAAACTCATCTGCTCAAGGGTGAAGAAGCCACATGGATCATTTTACCTCAAGAGCCTTGATCAAAGCTCCACACACACTTTCAGACGGACCAACAGGAGGAATCACTGGACCCTCTTTACCATCCAACCACTCTGGCAGACCAATCTGTCATTTTAAAGACACACTGATGGACGTGCCAAACCTGCCTGACAGTGTTTCCCTACACACTTCACTCAGACATCACCCATAACTTCCTCCTGTCTGGAGCTGCTCTCTAATGAAACTATAAGCTTTTCATTAGCCCTGGCTTCATGCTTGCCAGCGGTTTATGTAATAATGGTGGTAGTGAGATACATTGCAGCTGCTGGAGTCCTGTGTAGAGGTTGAATTTCCTCCAAACGTGTTATGAGAGATCAGCTTTTATTGGTGCAGTGGTGACAGTAAAATTAGGCCGTGTTTGTACTTGAGATCACAGTGATGAGAGATCAGGTTGTTAGGTTAGGTTTACATAAAAAAAATAATGGATTAGTTCACATAAGAGGACAATTCTGTCAGCATGTACTCACCCATTGGTTGTTCCAAACCTGTTTGAGTTTCTTTCTTATGTTGAACACAGAGGATATTTAGAAAATTGCTGGAGCTGAATTGAAATCATTGGCTCGCAACATTCTTCAAAATAACTTTTTGTGTTCTAAAAAAAAAGGTTGACAACAACTTGAGGGTGAGTAAATAGTGATTACTTGTTCATCTTTGGGTGAAATATCCCTTTTTTACTACAGCATTTGAGGTTGTCTTGGCCTGTGAATGGCGTAACAAAGCTGTTATCAGCAATAAGGCCTTCTTGACCTTGGAAATGAGCCATTTTCCTGTGTGTTGGAGGAGTGTGTTCTGGTTTCATCAGATTCCCCCGCTGCAGTTGAGTGAGGGCAGGTTCACACTGCAGTCAAGAGGCCACAGGAAGGTCCAGCTTTGATCCTCATATCTGTGTTCTGCTTCCTGTTTTACTTCAAAGAAGCTTAAACACAGTTTGGCCAGAAGAGAAACAGAAGAGGCTTAAAGCTGTACTCAGAAATGTGATTTTTTTTCTCCATTGCTTTATTGGAAATAAACTTTGGACTCCTTTTCTTTTTTCAGAGGAAATGCAAGATTATTCTCATGCTTGATTATTAGGTTTTCTTTTTTTTAGAAGAATAATAAAGACATCAAACTTTGACATGACCAAGGATGCAAATAAGTATGTAATATAAATGAACAATATCACACATGTAGAAGTGCGATATGGCTGTATATCAGCACTGGTAGGAGGCATGTGTTGTGTGTCCTCAGTGTCTCACCAGTGACGATATACAGCCATATCGCACTGCTAATCATGTAATATTGTGCTTATACAACAGTTTGACTGCGTGTTTATGTATATAAGAAAGAAAATCTAGAGACTCTAAAAATCTAAAAGTCTGGAACTACTCTCTTCCGCCATTCATTCAAATCTGTAGCTGACGTCAGAACAGTGGTTGCTACTTCACCAACGTCACTTTAGAGCGAGTATTTGAATGATTTTCTAGCATTCTGTCTAAATTGATCATGAAAAGGGGATTTTGCTGACATTTTAAGATTATAAGGCTGACATTTCCCGGTATTTCTGTTGCAATTGGGAGATCACAATAATTAACCCCGAAATTCAGAATTTCTTGTTTCTTTCTATTTACTGAACTAGTCTGCAGTTACGAAAACAGGAGACTCGTTAGAAACAAACAGATGGCCAACCAAAAAGTAACTCAGGGTTATACATTAAGTGGCCAACACAAAATATATACATTCCTCATATGTGAGTCCCATTTCAAAGTCAATACACTACAATTACTATGGTATGAATACAGCACTACAACAAACAAAACAGAGAGATTGACTTAGCATTTTAATAATGATTTGACCAGCTGTAAATCCACTGAATTTTTCGCCTCTAAGCGCTTATTATACGGTCTCTGTCGCCATCTTGTGGATGGACAATGTCAACCATCTTTGCTTTGCTAAATATGACAGGTGGATGGATGCCGACATGCTGTAACTCCAAAATTATAAATATTTAAAATAGGCACTATCCTTATAAATGAACTGCATAGTTGAAATCTAAACAACTTTATTCTCACTTGAAAAAGCCTCAAAAGTACATTATGTTGTCCAACAGCTGCAATATTTGTCAAACTGTAGTGAGTTTATTGATCTGGTGTCACTCTATGTGGGCGGAGTAATACAGAAGGGTGAAGAGGCTGTACGAATGCTGATATTTCAGAGTATTGCCCGGCTATCAGCCAATTAGATTCGAGAACAAGACAGAACTGTTGTATGATATATAAAGCATATTATTATTTGCATATTATATTTTTATTATGATATTATTATATTTAATAAACAAATATCTGTATATACTTTGAATATTTGGTTCACAGCAATAATAAGAATTGTTCCTTAGGCATCAAATCAGTATATTAGAGTAATATAAAAACATTCTGAACCATCATTTGACACTTTTGAGTTGCTCAGCCATGTATTCACAGGTAAATATATAAAAAGACAGAAAGCAGCTGTTTAAAGTTGTTCTAATATTTCACAACATTACTGTTTTTACAAACTATTTACTGTTGTTTAGTATTTTTATTCAACTAAACCATGTAAAAACATGTAAAAAAAAAACAAACATTTGAAATAAAACACACACTTTTGAACAGTATGTGCAAGTGTGTATTACATGTGCATGCTGGCTTCTATACTAATGCAATATATTGAATTTGTGTTAATGGCATCTATTGTCAGACTGTAATGAAGGTTTCCATTGATGTATATTTGTTTCTGTCAATCCATCAGTGATAGTCCACACATTGAGCCCCCTCTAGTGGACGAACCTGCTCCTGACACGGTCTCTGTAATCCACAACAGTGATGACGGTGAGTCCAGACACCAGTCATGAGACAATACTAACACACACACACACTCACTGTCCTCATGCGTCCACCACGTACCCTTTCTGCATCTGATGAATGTGCTCTAACCTGCCTGGCTTCTTCCGCAATAACCCTTCCTTCCCTCTTTCCCTCTCGCTCTTTCTCTCTGTCTCTTTGTTTTCTGTGTCTCTGAGTAGTAAAGTCAGGGCCATTGACCGTTTCAGAGTCGGACCCCATCGAGGCCATCGCTCGCTTCGATTACTCTGGACGCACCAACCGCGAGCTGAGCTTCAAAAAGGGGGCGTCTCTGCTGCTGTACAGCCGCGCATCTGATGACTGGTGGGAGGGACGACACAACGGCACTGAGGGTCTCGTGCCGCACCAGTACATAGTAGTGCAGGACATGTAAGAAGTTTATGTATTTGATTTATCATTATGGTCAGTATATATAAACTTATATAAACATATAAACTCACCGGCCACTTTATTAGGTACATCTTACTAGTACCAGGTTGGACCCCATTTATCTTCAGAACTGCCTTAACCCTTTGTGGCATAGATTCAGCAATGTACTGGAAATATTCCTCAGAAATTTTGGTCCATATTGACATGATGGCATCACACAGTTGCGTCAGATTTGTCGGCTGCACATCTATGATGCGAATCAACCATTCCACCACATGTCAAAGGTACTCTATTAGATTGAGATCTGTTGACTGGAGGCCATTTTAATACAGTGAACTCATTGTCATGTTCAAGAAAGCAGTCTGAGATGATTCGTGCTTTATAACATGGCGCATTATTCTGCTGGAAGTAGCCATCAGAAGATGGGTACACTGTGGTCATAAAGGGATGGACATGGTCAGCAACAATACTCAGGTTGGCTGTGGCATTGACACGGTGCTCAGTTGGTACTAATAGAACTGCAGCAGATCATCTTGAACATGTCGACATGCTTAAATGCATTGAGTTGTTGCTATGTGATTGGCTGATTAGAAGTTTGCATTAACTTAGGTGTACCTAATAAAGTGGCTGGTTTATTTAGTTTATATGGTTTGCTTTTTTTACTGCAGGACACTCATTCACATTGGATAGAAGTATTTCCTAAATGATTAAATTTAAATGACACTGTAAGGATAACAAAATAAAATGAACTGTCACTTAAAGCCAAGAGTGTTTTGGAAAATATTGAAATTCAGGATTGCAGCAGTTTGGTATACAGCAGATACTACTGGCTGTCAATAGCTATTTTCCATGCACCTTCTTCTATGTGCATTTGGACTTTTACTTTAATAAGTGCATAATGGAAATGCTCAGATGAACTATTTGATTGAAAATGCACATAAAAATTTATTGAATAAAGCCAGGAAGCAGATTTAAAAAAAAGTAATGTGATTTTCTTTTGGCAGATCATGATATAGTAAAAATGACAGAAATTTACAGTTACATTCTGGTGGACAAACGTTTTCAAAAAAACGAAGACCATTTGTCCCAATCTTGAGTGTCTGCGTTCCCAAAGAGCAATCTCATGCTTTCAAAAGCCAGATATGACTGTGTTTATTACTTCTTTGTCTTCTGAGGTGCAAGTCATTTATTAAATAAGGAACAAGGCCTACAGTTGCTTTTCCTGTACACAGCAAATACCATTTTCCTTTCTGATATTTTGCAGCAGTTTTTTTTAAATGTTAAATGACAATTTTGTTTTCTTTACCCCATTGGAGGCTTTATTTGCAAATGTTTTATGCAATATTAATGTTTTTCACATGTTTAAATCAAATCTTTTAATGGAAACATAGCTGTTGAGGCTCAGGGTTACCCAACAAAGTGTTGATATAGTAGTTGTGTAAATATTGTCACAGTAACACTTGTTTTTGTTTTTGTTGTGTGAATTGTTTTTGGATGAGTGTGCTTTTTTTTCTTGAAGGTTTCTATGATGGTGAATTATTTTTGGTTTGACTGTATGCTAAAAATGGGCTTTTCAGTAATGCATTAGAAACTTAGTATTAGAAAGTTACAAGTAGTAACTTACCGTGCTCTCCTATAATTTTGGGATCCTTGGTGAATATGAGCAAAGAATTCTGTGAAAAAAAATGTATTAATTTATTTATTTTATTTGTAAATTTTGATACAGGCTGTTCATTCCGCTGTGACGACACCAGTTTAATAAATGGACTAAGCTGAAAAGAAAATTAATGAATGAATTAATTTTGATCTAGCTAATAAGTGTATATAAAATGTTCTCAATGAGGACAAACATTTGCAAACAGCACAGTTTTATCACATAAATACATATATTTCTTAATTATATGTTATAATTATTGGCACCTCTATTGTAACTCTCTTCACAACAACACAGTCACAGGTTGTTTCTCCAGAACAGGGGTTTATTTAAGGTCGTCCATAATGTGCTTTGCGGCTGTCGCCATGACGCCTTGACGCCATGACGCCGTGAGAACTGTATTAGTAAATGAACACAGTACAAACGAATAAGAAATTACACAAACCACGATTATCTAATACATTACATAAGCAAACAAATACCTCGTTGGTCGTTTTTCATGAAAAGAGGGTCCTTTGATTAATAAAGTCTTCTTCGCTGTCCTTTTGACTTATGACAGCAGCAACCTTAAGCTTCTTAAACACATCTTACTTTACACAGCACTGACATGCGTCTGATCATCGTCAGTCTATCCGGGCATCCATAAACAAGCCACTCACATTACACGTCATTTCCTCAAAGTGACATGTTTCCATAATAAATGTCTTAAACTACAACATATGAAATAATAACACATTTCAAACGTTCAACATATTTACATTTTTAAATACACTTCAGCTAAATGAATACAAAATAGTAGGACCTTAAATCACTGAAGAATATAATATGAAACAAATATGCGATTATGCAAAAATGCTTGATAACAGCACTTACACCTATAGATTCAAATTAGCTAACTATTTCCCATAATTCCTATTGACATGTTACATATGAAAATGAACATTGAAAATGCTGCAATGGTTAAGATATTCTGACTAACTGGAGAAGGAAATTTGTCATGTATCTTGTTCTAGTGCAGTGACATGATCCTGAAAATCTGGATAATTGCAGAACAGCTCTCGTGTCAGAGAAAGTCTCCAAAACTACAATCTGACACCACAAACTGATTGAAAGGTTTAATGAAAAAAGACTTTACTCTTGTTTAAAACCAAACTCAAGCATCTTTAGTTTATTTGGTTAGTATTTTGAACAGAATGTCAAGAGTTTAAACTTTCACAGCCTTTATGCTCTAATTTTATCAAGAGTTGTCAATATTAGTCTATGGCACTGTGTTTAAAGTGTATCTATTATGAGTCTGCCTGTTGTATTTGTGGATTGTATAGATCTATGTTTTTTTTTTAGGCCGGATGGATATGCAGGCAGAGGAAGTCCTAAAGCTGACCTCGAAGGATCCCATGATTCAGTGGAAGAGAAGGTTTCCACGAGAGCCAGTGCCAGCTCACCCACTGGAGGTCATGTGGCTGATATCTATCTAGCCAACCTCAACAAGTACGTTCTCACATTTTTACACATACAAATATACACAATTAATTGAAGCTATGACTTTTTAATTATAAAGACAGATATAGATGGATCAAGTGAATCTTTATATTTTTATACTTGTGAATTATTACTACACATTAATAATTTACTGTTATTTATTAATAATTTTTTAAATATAATAAAAACAACAAAATTTATAACATTTTTATTTGAATTCATGTATATAAAGTCTACTTAACAAAATATTTTATATATTCAGTTATGTCCATAAATAATTGCACATCAACACAATTCTATCATTTTTGGCTCTATACACCAACACAATGGATTTGAAATTAAACTAGATGTGCTTTAACTGCAGATTGTTGCCTTTAATTTGAGCGTATTTACATCCAAATCAGGTGAACGCTGTAGCAATTACAACAGTTTGCATATGTGCCTCCCACTTTTTAAGGATCCAAAAGTAATTGGACAGAATAATAATCATAAATCAACATTCACTTTTTAATACTTGGAAAAATCCTTTGCAAATCCTTTGCAGTCAATTGCAGCCTGAAGTCTTGAATGCAAAGACATCACCAGACACTGTGTTTCATTCCTGGTGGTGCTCTGCCAGGCCTCTACAGCAACTGTCTTCAGCTCCTGCTTGTTCTTGGGGCATTTTCCCTTCAGTTTTGCCTAAAGCAAGTGAAATGCATGCTCAATCATATTCAGGTCAGGTGATTGACTTGGCCATTGCATAACATTCCACTTGTTTCCCTTCAAAAACTATTTGGTTGCTTTTGCAGTATGTTTTGGGTCTTTCTCCATCTGCACTGTGAAGCACTGGCCAATGAGTTCTTAAGCATTTGGCTTAATATGAGCAGAAAATCTTGCCTGAAACACTTCAGAATTCATCCTGCTGTTTTTGTCAGCAGTCACATCATCAATAAATACAAGAGAACCAGTTCCACTGACAGCCATGCATGCCCAAACTATGTCACTACCACCACCATGCTTCACTGCTTAGGATCATGAGCAGTTCCTTTCCTTCTACATACTGTTCTCTTCCCCTCACTCTGATACAAGTTGATCTTGATCTCATCTGTCCATAGGATGTTGTTCCAGCACTGTAAAGGCTTTTTTATAACTCTAATCTGGCCGTCCTGTTTTTGAGGCCCCCCAATGGTTTACATCTTGTGGCGGACCCTCTGTATTCACTCTGGTGTTGTCTTCTCTTGATTGTTGACTTTGACACACATACACCTACCTCCTGGAGAGTGTTCTTGATCTTCCCAGCTGTTGTGAAGGGTGTTTTCCTTACCAGGGAAACAATTCTTTGGTCATCCACCACAATTCTTTCTGAGGTCTTCCGGGTCGTTTGGTGTTGATGAACTCACTGGTGTGTTCTTTCTCTTTAAGAATGTTCCAAATAGTTGTTTTGGCCATGCCTGATGTTTTTGCTATCTCTCTGATGGATTTGTTTTGTTTTTTCAGCCTAATGACGGCTTGCTTGACTGATAGTAACAGCTCTTTGGATCTCATCTTGAGAGTTGACAGTAACAAATTCCTAATGCAAATAGCACACTTGAAATGAACTCTGGACATTTTTTTCTGCTAATTGTAATTGGGATAATGAGGAAATAACACAACTGTCCATGGAACGGCTTTGAAGCCAATTGTCCATTTACTTTTGGACCCTTAACAAGTGGGAGGAACATATGCAAACTGTTGTAATTCCTACAGCGTTCACCTGATTTGGATGTAAGTACCTTCAAATTAAAGCTGATAGTCTGCAGTTAAAGTACATGTTGTTTGTTTTATTTTAAATCTATTGTGTTGGTGTATAGAGCCAAAAATGTTAGAATTGTGTCGATGTCCAATTGTTTATGAACCGAACCGTTCAAAGACAAATAAAAGAGTGTATGTGAGAGTTTGTACTTACACATATTTATCTCAGGTTGAGGAAGCGTCCAGAAGCGACGAGCATCCGGAGAACCATCCGGCCTGTGGAGGAGGGCTCATCAGGAGCAGCAGGGGGCTTAAAGACCTCCTCTATGCCTGCTGGAGGACTGGCCAAGGACAGCTCAGACAAGCGTCCTGTCAGCGCTCACAGCGTCCTGAACTCCATCACCAGACACTCGTCTCTCAAGACTAAAGTAGAGGGTCCTCAAGTTCGCAAATCCACACCTACTGGACGATCCAAGAGCTTCAGCAACCACAGACCCCTCGACCCAGAGGTGATCGCGCAGGTGGAGCACAGCTCACAGGTACGGGACACTTCAGAAATATTATTAGAAACAAGCAGCATTCAAACCCTGTCAGCTTTCATCTAAACTTTCTGGCTCAAGCAGACATCACTGTTGTCCAATCACAACCCATTAGGCAAATGATGACATCAAACTTACATCTCAGTTGATAAAGTATGTAAATCAAACTGATGTCAGAATCTTGACATGGTTTTGTTTTGATGTAAATTGAATGGCAAACATATTGGCATTCATGTCATTAAACCAATTTAAGTGTTATTAACCCCCCCCCTACCCCCACCCCCTAAATAATCACCGATATCACTGTCCAAACTGAATTTATAATTATGTTACAGCATCGTGATCAAGTCTTAAGTAACAACTTATCAGAATGATATCAAGACCTGCCAGAAAACAATTTGTGTGGTAGTTAATATATGCAAATATATGGAAATATACACATTTTTATACTTGTAATGAGTATTTTAGGGTCGATCCATGCTATGGAAGCGTACTTCTATTATTTAAAATATATAACAATTGTTGTTTCTTCATTTGAACTGAAATATTAAGTCATGCTTAACAACTTAACAAAAGTTTTCTTAATTGACAATATTTAATGAATACAAAAATGTTTTGGAGATTTTTTGTAAACTGAAATTGCTATTAGGATGTTAACCTGCATAACTAATATTGCTTCTGAAGACAATCACCTATTAAATCGTAAATCTCTTGAACCATTTAAACATAAAAACAATGTGAAAGAATTGACCGTGTGTCTCCCTCTGGCTGACAACCTTGGTACAACAGGTTGTAGTTTGGTGGCCATTTTGGGTGGACCTTTTTTGATATCCTCTTTTGACTGATATACGCCATTTTCCATGTTCAGCTATGACAGTTCATTAGTTTAAATTTATCAGAAGAAAATTTCATAAGTCAAACCTTCCCATGGCTCCATTAAACCATATCTTCTAAACCATTTATTAAATCCAAATTCTTGTAAAAACCTTTTGTAAATTCTCTACATCACGGGTGTCCAAACTCGGTCCTGGAGGGCCGGTGTCCTGCATAGTTTAGCTCCAACTTCCTTCAACACACCTCCCTGGAAGTTTCTAGCACACCTAGAATAAGGTTGATTAGCTGGTTCAGGTTGGGGTTGGAACTAAATTATGCAGGACACCGGCCCTCCAGGACTGAGTTTGAACACCCCTGCTCTATATCATAGGTCTTAAGCTGGATTCCTTGAGAATTGCAACTCTGCACAGTTTTGCTCCAACCCTAATCAAACTCAGCTGATCCAACTAATCAAGGTCTACTAGAGACTATAAAGCTGTGGTCACACTGGACTTATACACTTCCATTCATACGCACGTGAAAGCCTCAGACCGGAAACGCAAGGTCATGCGTCAAGTTTCGCAGGTTTCTGCGGTGCAAAGTTCAAGTTTGGTGAACTCTAACCTGCGAAATCGCATCACTTGACTGCGTGAGACCAATCAAGGATCAAAACATGACATCTCTGGACAGAAATTTAAAACATGGAGCAATCACTTGCTTTTTTAAATGTCTAATAAGCTTGTTTAACCCTGCCCCTTTTTGCAGCGCTGCACGACAGAATATCGCACGCTCAAACTCTAATGTGACTGCAGCTTCAAGCAGGTGTGAGTTGGAGGTGGTTGGAAAAAATTTTATAAAACAGTTCAAAATGGTTGAGCAAATGTAAAATTTCTCAAAATGGTATGAGCCAAAACTCCAGACTCGGTGCAGTTGTAAACATAGCTGCATGTAATGCTTGTAATGATCACCCCTAATCCTACCCCTTACAGTGACATCACTAGCTACATTAAGTGTCAGTCTCAGCTTGCAAATCCAAGTCTGCATTTAGATAATATTGGAAATTTGGAACCATCCTGCCAAATTTTGTGTTTCTAGGAACACAGCTTGTGCTTAGGCCCCTAATAAATACTGTAGACACACAGGTCAACTTGAGAGCCTGCTTTCCTCTCTGAAAAAGTGCTGAGGTCTCCAGAGGAGCTTGTGTGTTTTAGAGAGTTCTACAGTATTTGTCTTTCTTTGAGCTGTAATTTCACGGTTGGACAGAGCTGCTCCATCTATCCCGGCTGCTGGAAATTGAGTGTGAGTTTCTGTGGTTTAGTCATTGTAGACATGTGGACATCTTATAGATTTGTTGTTGAAAGCCTACAAGGTCTGACCTTAGCGAAAACATTTAGCAATAGATGGTGTCTTTTTAAAAAGAAGTGAAGTGAACTTTTTACTCCTTTTACTGTGGCTTTCGTAGTTTGAAAAAAACAACAACAACAAAGATACACTTATATATATATATATATACACACACACACACACACACACACACACACACACACACACACACACACACACACACACACACACACACAGTTAATTACATATAATTCAAGCATTTAATATTGTATGTGTCTTAGATTATTACAAATTAAAACATTTATTAAATTATTAAATTATTAAAATTATTAATTTATTATTATATTATATTATATTATATTATATTATATTATATTATATTATATTATATTATATTATATTATATTATATTATATTAATAAGTAGGTTATGGAATTTAGTTATATTCAAATATTTATATAGGTTAAAACTACAAATATATGGTGCTTTTTTTCTTTAAAATGCCAGATTATAAACTAATGAATATATACAATAATATTGCAAACAACATGCAGTATATAAACGTCCTTTAAGATAATTTAATTTTGACTATACTGTATGTATGAGAGTACAGACATATTTTCTTCTGCTGTCTTACAAATAATCTTTAGATAAAAACAATAAATAAGCAAAAAGAAAATAAGAATACTATCAAAACTTTCTTGGTTCTGATTATTTTTTACATAAATGTAAAACCAAAAAAATCTGAATAAATAAGAATATAAGTGTAATGGAATTTTTTTATGCTTTTCATTACAAAACTTTATGAGAAACAATTCAATCTAATAAACATTGTCAGTCACACTTCATTTTAATTTTAGTTTACAATTCATGCTATTAACAAACTATTAACTAAGTCTTTTAGCTCAATAAACGGCTAATTGGCTGATTATTAATAGCAAGGTAGTAGTTGGTTTTAGGTAAAGATATTTACATTGTATTTTATTTGTTTTCTTTCTGCAGGACATCGAGGCCACTATGAACACGGCTCTGAGTGAGCTGCGAGAGCTTGAGAGGCAGAGCAACGTCAAACATGCTCCAGACGTGGTTCTCGACACACTGGAGCAGCTCAAAAGTGGCGGGACATCTGAACCATCCAGCCCTCTCCATTCCCGCCTGCTCCGCGAAGCTGAATCCTCTCAGCATCCTCTGCAGCGCAGCGCCAGTTCAGCCAGCGACATGCCCTCCACTTTCCGACCCAGCAAAACCACAGGCCCCAAGAGCCCTCTGTCCTCCATGACCACCGCTTCTGGCTCCACATTCAGAGATAACAAACCTCCAGCCACCAGACCCAAGCCTGTGGTGTTCCCCAAAAGCAGTTCAGCCGGAGGAAGTCCGGCTATGGGATCTCCAACCACCACCATCCCACCAACACCACCACCTCCACCACCACCCACCGACAAATCCTGCCCCGTCTGAGGGTTTCCCAGCAAAAAAACAACAGGATAGTTTAGATTTGAGTGAGCGAGTAAGTGTTTAATACACACAGGATGATTTTTCAGCAGTTGTTAGTTTGGACTGAGACTCGGACATCAGCCGGATCTTCTTTTCTAATCCCAGTTTAGAGCTTTGGAGTTCTTTTCTGTCTGTACAGACTCGTTTTAATGGGAAAAGACTTTTTTTGAGGTCAAAGAACTATTCGAGGAGACATTTTCACCTCAGACTTTAGTGCAAATTGAAGCAGGTTGAATGGAAACACATTTTTTTTTCCTCCTGATATAAATCCGCCACTCAAATGCAATGACATTTCTGAGTCGATCCAATCCGTCAGATTCTACAAATCCAATAATCACTAGTTATACTTCATAATTCACCTTATAACCTACACTGGCACTCTTTTTAGCCAACCAAACCATAAACGTGACAAATAAACACGTTTGCATGAAGATCCACAAGATTTTTTGCATGATGAACGCGACTTCCCAAACCATTGGATTTATCATCGATATTCCGTAATTGCTCCAAAGCACTTCTGAATTCATTAACAGTCTGAGATGTCATTTTATTCTACTATTATAATATCATCGGGCACATAAAAAAAGGGTGTTGTTTTGTATAAGTCTAATAATCGTGATTATAACTGGAAACAAGTATCTAAAAATGAGGAATGTCAAGAAAGCACATTATTTCTTCATGGCCCGTGTGTAAAAAAAAAAGAAAAAATAACAAGAAAAATAATTCTCCCTAGGTCATTACTCGCCTCTGGGTCTATTTCATGGTATCTATGTATTAGTATGTGTGTTTACGTACAGTATGTATATAATGACTCTTCGTAGCAGCCTGACAGCAGTTTCTTTATTTTATTTGATCAGATTTACAATGCAAAAAAAAGGGAAAAACTAAAAGGGGACACATGCAAAAATGAAGCTCGCTTTCTTCTGTTTGTTTTTCTGAAAGAATAAGTGTGCAAAAAGCCTCCTTAAAGAGATAGTGCGCCCAAAAAGGAAGATTTGTGGTTAGTTGACTCATCCTAAAAAGATATTTGACTGTGTGATGTAGATGTAGGTCACTTTATTTCTTTAGTGAACATTAGAAACGATATTTAGCTCAAATTGTGGTCTTTAATTATACTTTGAGTGTCTAAAAAACATCATAAAGGCAACACAAACTTACTCCACATGACAAACGCTGTGATTTAAAGAAGCAAAACAATCAATCTGTGTATGAATTAGAATATTAAGTACATTATTATCATTAATCCCCACAGGCTGATTGTTTTGGATTATAAAATATCAGTCTATCATCATGTATTGAGTTGTGTTGCCTCCATTTGTTTTTATTTTTTACTTTTATTTTGGAAGCCAAAAACATAAAGGCAACACAAAATTACTCCACATGACATACGCTGTGATTTAATGAAGCAAAACAATCGACCTGTGTATGAATCTGAATATTATTTACATTACTGATACCAATGATCCTCACAGACTGATTGTTTTGGAATTTAAAACATCAGTGTATCGTCATGTATTAAGTTTGTGTTGCCTCCATTTGTTTTATTTTATTTATTATTATTATTATTTTTAAAAGTAAAAAATAACATAGAGGCAACACAAACTTACTCCACATGATGTACATTGTGATTTTCTGAAGCAAAACAATTGATCTGTGTATGAATCTGAATATTAAGTATATTGTTGATACCAATGATCCTCACAGACTGATTGTTTTGGATTTTAAAATATCAGTGTATCGTCATGTATTAGGTTTGTGTTGCCTCCATTTGTTTTTATGTATTTTTTAATATTATTTTGAACGTCAAAATTCTCTGATCTACCTTCCTGCAGATTTCAGTTGCAACCCTTATCAAACACACCTGTCTTTAATTATCTAGTGCAGTTCAGGTCCTAATTAATTGGTTCAGGTGTGTTTGATCAGGGTTGGAGCTGAACTCTGTAGGAAGCTAGATCTCCAGGAACAGGGCTAAGCATCCCTGATATACATTATTATCACTGATCCTCACAGACTGATTGTTTTGGATTATAAAACATCAGTGTGTCTTTATGTATTAAGTTTGAAAGTCACAAAATAAAAAATAAATAAACATACAGGAAACACAAATTTTTTAGCATGACTCCTGACAGTACGTTGAGATTCCATCGCAAAACAATTGATCTGAATATGAAGACTAGATATATTCTTAGTTTTGATCCACAGACTGATCGTTCCAGTTTATAAAACATCAGCGTATCATACTTACGTTTTAATTTTGTGTTGCCTGTATGTATGTTTGTTTTGTTTTTGACTCTCAAAGTACTATTAGCTTTTTAATATGTACGACCAAGGCCACATACACAACTGAAAGTCTGGTTAGTGTACAGTCTGAGGGTGAGTAAATTAAACATCATTTCCTTTCATTTTTGGTGGAACTCTTCCTTTAACGTCTGACAATCTTTATAAGATGCCTGTCCAAAGAGCTAAATGCCCCTCACAGGGTCTGCGTGATTTTATTGCCTTCGACAGAACGGATCAGACAAGTGTGTATTTTCCCAAAGCGAGGCCTTATTATGCATGAAAACAAGTTTGTGAACGTAGACAACAGCTAACTGCGACTTATGGAAAATATCTGTAGATAGACTAAGATCTTTATGACTGAGGCATTGTTTTGTTTTTCTCCAAGTAACGTTCCTTGTTTTCCTATTGTGTTCTTTTCTGAATGTGTCGTCGTGTCACAGGTGGTTACATTTGTTCACATGTAAATGATCGGAAGTATTGTGTGCGTGTGTGTGTGTGTGTTGTTCCTGATACCTCATAAAGGCAACTGGAAGCTGTCTTATTGGAGTTTTCGTGAGCAGGACTTTTACATGCAAATGACAGCAGGTCGTGTTTAATGTGTAAATGTTAATAGTATGCTGTCGGCCGAGGCCTACGTTTACACACATGATGTTTCCTTGAGTAAACTGAAATCAATCATTATACACTTGAATCTGCATTGTATGTTTGTGAACACATTGAGTGAGGGTGATTTTCTTTCTTTCTTTCTATTTTCTTTGTAATCATAACTGTATTAAAATGTAATTCCTGTCCAGTTGAAGCAAGACTGTAAAATGAATCGTCTTGTCAGAACTATTTATAGTTGTCCATTCTGATATCTGTTCCCACAGAAGCGTGTGTTCAGATGTTGTTTTGTATATACAATAGTGTACATTGCAGAGGTACATTGTTTTTTTCTTCTTCTTCTTTTTCATATTTTGTTTGTGGGGGTTCTTATTTCTTCTTTTTTTGGTACAATATTGTACAGTTACAGCAATAGTAGTTCCACTCAAATATACATTCTATAATTCCATGTGTAGTTCTTGTAGTAAACATTTTTAAATAAAAAATTGCTTGCTAAACGTGTATTTGATTGTTTCAATTAAACAAAAGCTGCGAAATGTGAAAATTATCTCTTTTTTTCAATATTGCCAGCCTTTTTTCATTCTAAATAAAACATAACTGACTAAACATGTCCTTGATTGTTTCTTTTTGTTTGTTTATATATAATAAAAAGGTGTTAAAAAGTATAATTTTATTTTTTTTTGTACAACTTCTCCCAGCAACTTCACTAATAATATATATTTTTATTCATTCATTTTCTTTTCGGCTTAGTCCCTTAATTAATCAGGGGTCGGCACAGCGGAATGAACTGCCAATTTATCCAGCATATGTTTTACGCATCAGATGCCCTTCCAGCTGCAACCCAACACTGGGGAACACCCATACACACGCTTTCACACACATACACTATGGCCAGTTTAGCTTATTCAATTCACCTGTACCGCATGTCTTTGGAGGGAGAACATGCAAACTCCACATAGAAATACCAACTGGGGGCGGGGCTTAAACCACCGACCTTCTTGCTGTAAAGTGAACGTGCTACTGCGTAAACAAAAACATATTTTGTTTATTTTTTTAATAAATATTTCTCTTTGTGAGTAGTACATAACGCGGTTAAAATCGGCAAAATTTTATGCAATATACCATTTCTAAGGAATGTGTACGATTTTTTATTTACTTTTCTTTTTAGAACAACAGTATCTCCAGCAAAAAAGATATCCAAAGATGCCGTTTTAAATTGTAAAAAAAAAAAAAAAAAAAAAAAAGATGTTTGGAAATAAATGAAGACAGCAGAAGTCGATGATTTATTTGAATTATTTAGCCTGACATGTATTACAAAATATTAAAAATGTTTCTCAAAATAAAATATATTGTGTTCAAAGGGAAACAAGTTTTTGTTTTTTACTCAGATATTAGAAAAAGAAATTATTTTAGAGCAATGATCACAATACTGTGATACCGTGATATTTTTTTTATCCAAGGTCATACTGTCAGAATCTTATACCGGCCCATGTCTTAGGCTATATATTAGGCATATAAATATATACATATATATATATATATACACACACACACACACACACACACACACACACAAATATATATATATATATATATATATATATATATATATATATATATATATATATATATACATACACACACACACACACAGGCTATATGTATAGAGCAAAAGGCGCTAATCCCGTCACGTCTGTGTTTATGAGGCTGTTTGCTAATTTTATTTGTTTTATTCTGATCAGATATCCGATCGCTTAAACCACTGATGCATTCCAGATGAAACTGGACAGGTATAATCATTTTTTTAGAAAAAATTAATATAAATAAATAAAATTATGACCTGGAGAAAATCTGAGCTGCGCCTGAAACACCTGGTGCACTTTTACAGGGCAATTCTATTAAAAACATGTTCACTATAAGCATAAAACATGTTCTAACTCTTCAGGCCTGTAGCCAGGGGGGTTCGGAAGGCCCACCCCTCACTGACGAAGGTCCAGAACATTTGTCCCATACATGAGCACATTTGTCCTATTTTGACTGCTATGCCATCATAAATAATGAAAATAATCTATCAATAAAGGCTTTTAGACCAGACGGACTCTTCTGTCGGCTGTTGCTTCGGTGGGACTATAATCTGATATAAGAGGTTTTCTTTCACTACTGTATTGTTTTTAAACATAGAAAACATCTTAGAGGTAGCCTAATTTTATACTAAATCTTGGAGTTTTTTTCCGAAATAAAAATGAGCAATAAAAAGGTGTGAAGCACCAGAAGCTGACCATATTAAACTAATTTGACTATATTTTGGCTGTTGTTGATATCCAGGAATTTTCAAATGTACTTTTTTACCAAAGATACTAGAAAAACTCTAAAGAATTTATTATAACTTTATTATTATTATTATTATTATTATTATTATTATTATGTTTTTAAAAAAAAAAATTAAATGGCCAAATTGTGACTGAGGACAGTTAAATGTGCTGGCCAGTCAGTTTTTTTTTTGTCTAATAAATGAAAGTAGGCTACAGTTTTGTTTTTTTTTTACTTTAAAACTTTAACAGATTGCTATTTTTTCCTAATAATATAAGATGGAAAAAAATGTATATTTTAAAATTTAGTCTTGTTTAATTTTTTTAACTGCAATGTTTTAGGAAATATTTTAGTACATCAAAAAGTGTGGTTATGATGACATTTGACTAGCTAATCCAGCAAAAAATAAATAAATAAAATAAATAAAAATAAAATAAAATTCACTAAAATGCAGTATTTAAATCTCATAGTTAACTAGAAACTGAGGCGTATAACTGCAAAAAGGTCCACTTTTTGAGAAAAAAAAGAACCACCCCTTACTCAATTATGGGTTAAACATATATTTTTAATGGGTCGAAAATCTTAATCATTAGATTAAATCTGTAATCTTTATCAGTGCTTGGGAAATGTGGGGTCTTTTCCAGTCCAGCCCTCGTTTTTGTTCTACAGAAATCCAGGAAGAACTGTACGTAAATACCTTCAATATGCAAATCCTGGTCAAACTTTCCATTCTAGATGTTTTTCACCAGAGGGCGATATACTTTTAAAAAAAAATCTGTCATATTTAATAATGTGCGCTAATGGTTTATAGTTTACCCTTAAAACTAAAGATATGACCTACAAAAAGAATATTTCTCCTTGCTATGTTTTCCTTGTTAACATTTTAAAGATTAAGTAATCTTGTGAGAGCAAAAACACACACAGACGCCCAACAAGGAAGTTCCTGACAGCAATGAAAGGAAAGTTGCTGCTGAGTTTCCGTCAAGCTGCTCTCTTTACTTCAGTCTGAGGACTGCAGGTGTAAAAAGTTTGTACAATAACTCAGTTTGGATTGAAGAGGAAAATGCGTCGCCATCAAACACACAAATGGTTAGTTGATTGTTTTTTGTAGTTTTCTGTTGTCGGTCAGTCAGAATAATGACGACGACGATGATGATGATGATGATGGTGCGAAGGGGAAATTCTTAACGCTATTGTAAGTTGACACGTTTTCCCTAATAAGTACGTTAACATTACATTTAAGAAACATGTTTATTTTTTACAAAATATGATTAATCTGCTTTTAGGTCATACAGGAAGGAAGTGGACTTTATTCGACTCTTCTGCTCTGACTGTTGTGTTTAAGAGAAGTGTTAAGTTCAGGAATAAAACGGTAACGTAACGTAATTCACTTTTTAATTGGATGAGAGACATGTTTATTTTGATTGTGTTTGCCTTATTTTAGCACCTAAATATTATTTAATAACCTTAAAACTCTATTTGATGTTACAATTGGCTAATTATAAACAGAAACTAACGAGAAGTTCACTGACAGCATAATTTACATATTACCAGAGCTCAGTTATGTATTCAATCTGAAGGGAAATTGAACTAGAGATAGTCAAATAGCTAGCTTAGCTAATAACTAATTTTGATTTGACTAAGATTCGTCATGAAAAGTGTCTTAAATGTTTAAATACTTTATAATGTGGATAATTTAATACTCTTTTGAGCAGAATTTACTTTAAATAAAGAAGTAACACAACATGGTAGCCGAACACACTGTGGTTATGCGACCCTTACCATAGTTTAATCAAAGCATTTGTAGTAATACTGTGATTCTACACATGGTTATCAGTCTGCCTAAAAACAGTTACCACAAACTTCTGTTAAATCAAATCAAATCACTTTTGTTGTCACATCATCAGCAGCACGTGTACTATGATGAGTGAAAACCTTATGCTGGCTCCAGACAGTGCATAAATACAACATACTCCAATGAACAAAACAATGTACAATTAGCAATGCTGACAGTAATACATAAAAGACAACAGATGCCTGGAATGACAATGAATGCGCTAAGAAAAACACACATTACACACACGTAGGCACAGATAAACAAGTACACCGTCAAAAAATCTTTTTTCACATTCTTATTATGGGGTGTTGTGTGTAGAATTTTGAGGAAATAATTTAATTAAATCCATTTTGGAATAAGGCAAACACATAGTTTGACTGTAGAAAATTATTGTAGGCAATATTGTTTTGAGTAAGGATTTGGTTAAAGTGCAGTACAATCTACATCTTGATGGCATGCAGTGAGGGGTATGGAAAAAGTTTGTGTGAGGTGTAAGTGTTCATCAGACTACTCAATTTTTTAGGCTACTTTTTGAGCAGTATTTTTTACCGAAGGTTTTTTAGTCTGTTAAAACATTTTAAGCCATGAACAAAGACAACCAGAAAACTAGTCATTAGTAGATTTTTAATGTAAAGATACAATATATTTCAAGCTTATTCTAAATGATTCATATTCTAAATATTTAAGTATGTTGAGAATAATTCTCTGATTGGTGATGTGCAGTGCATTATTTATAGCGCTTCACTTTTCCCACAATTGTTTATGTTATAGCCTTATTCCAAAATGGATTCAATTAAATTATTTCCTCAAAATTCTACACACAACACCCCATAATAAGAATGTGAAAAAAGATTTTTTGAAATTGTTGCAAATTTATTAAAAACAAAAAACCTGAAAAATCACATGTAAATAAGTTTTCACAGCCTTTGCTCAAAACTTTGTTGATGCACCTTTGGCAGCAATTCCAACCACAAGTCTTTTTGAATAGGATGCCGCAAGCTTGGCACTTCTGTCTTTGGGAATTTTTGCCCATTCTTCTCTGTCAGGTTGCATGGGAAGCGATGGTGTACAGCAGGGGTCTCAAACTCAATTTACCTGGGGGCCGCAGGAGGCAAAGTCTGGGTGAGGCTGGGCCGCATAAGGGATTTCACAAAAAAAAAGTCCTCAAATGTCATTATTAACAGTTTTAATTATTTCTTCTGAACATGAAGTGTCCTGAGCATTAATAGAACATTGAGTGAAGATTATGAACAGTTCTTCTGAACATGGCATCTTTTGCCTACTCCTTGCTGCCAGAGACTTGACAGCGCTTCTTCTCACAAATCTGAACCACATTTGGCTTTAGAGCGGAAGCAGTTGAGACCCTCAGTATGGCTTGAAGATGATCATCATTAAGTCTAGACCTGTACTTTGACTTATTGAAGTTCAAGGTGAAGAATAACTTCTCACACAAATATGT